TCTTGTGTATTATTTGCCTAGAAATCTAGACCAGCTGAAGCGTTAACAAAAAGATTTGCTTTGCAGGTCGGTCTAGTTGTGCTCCATTGTAGCCCCAACAGCCTGACTAGTTTTGTGTCTTACCAATCTGAGAGAACTCTGTCTAAAGCTGCGATGAAGAAAAGCAACAAAGATGGCGTCAGCTTAAGAACAGCGTTGGTTTGAAACAGGTTTGCTATTAACTTTAGATGATTTAACTAGTAGCTTTTCTTTGACTCATGACCAGATAGAGCTACTGTAGTCATTTACTTTAAAAAAGGATGTTTGTTCCTCCTTCATGGATGGTGTATGGCAGACTGCCTCATTAACTGATCTCCATAGTGATGAATATGTTATGTGTTCATTGCTCTGATTGGTCCTAGCACTGTCTTAGCATGTGGAGATATTTTAAGAGTCAACAACAGATTTCGCCCCATGATGAGCTCTGTCTATGGGTCGTGGTCAGACTATATATTTACATATATAGGATGGCTTGCCAGGCTAATGTATTTTAACTCGCAACATACCGGTAAGTTGAATGTTGAAGTCAAAACAGAATAAGCTCCCATTAGCTGAATGTATTATATGTTATCAGTCCCACTCCTTCCATGTAAATTATTTGGGATGTTTTCTTGACTAAAAGGGGAAAATGCACCTAGAATCATCTTTGCTAGGCGTTAACTGTTTTTTTACTCATATATTTTTAAACGAAGGTTGACAAAAGATGATTTTGTGCAGGTGAGCAGCGAGAACTTTTAGCTCCACAACTTGAGTCTGTTTCCAGTTATACTTTGCAGGTTATGATGTGACTTCTGCACAATTGGACACACCTAATCACTATTTGCAGCAGTCAATAGTCAAAGTCAAAAAGAAATTTCCCATTAGAATTAACTCATATTCATAACATTTCCTAAAAATGTAACATGAAATGTCAAACGCCACAATTGTCTTTATATTTATGATCACCAGATGATTGTGTCGCTTAATGTCTTTGAAGTCTTCTCTTGAGGTCACATCATGAGTAAAAGAACAGAATAGACTTCATTGATCTCACAGTGAGGAAATTCACTTGTGGTGCAGCACAAACACTTAGAGAATAATATGAAGAAAAAAATGACTAAGGTAAATGTACCTACACAAAGACAGCAATCTAGTATTGTAACCTTCAACCACAAAAACCACACAAAAAAATAAATAAATAAAAAGAAAAACTTGGGTTCCAGAGCTATGCAGCATAATGTAAGGGACACAGACATACTATGTACATTTATTATTGCACAAGTATTAAACATACAGTATACTGAAGATTGCACTACTGTTATTGAGTAACAGGATAATGCCAGTACAGCTTACTGCAGAGGGGATGAATGACACATGGTGGTGTTCTGTTTGAAATCTGGGTTGTCTCAGTCTGCCTCTGAAGGAGCTGTCCATGGTCTCCACAGTGGGATGCAGTGGGTGAAAGGGGCTTTTTAAGATGGAGGTCATCCATACCACCATGCTTCTTTCACACGTCTCCTGAACAGAATCCAGTGGGCAACCCAGAACCGAGCTAGCTTTGTTAACTAGCTTGTCCTTCTGTCTCGGTCAGAGCTGCCTGCACCCCAACAGACCACAGCAGAGTTGATAACGGAGCCAACAGAATGATAAAAGGATTTTAGCAGGTGGGAATTAACTCCGAAGGACCTCAGACTCCTCAGGAGGTGGAGATGGCTTTGGTCCTTCTTATACAGAGCATCTGTGTTTTGGGACCAGTTCAGTTTACTGTTGAGGTGAACACCCAGGTACTTAGAGGTATTCACCACCTCAATGTCTACACCCTGGATGTTTACTGGTGAGTGAGGAGTGTTTCTCTGGAAGTCAGTCACCATTCCCTTTGTCTCACTGGTGTTCTAGCGAAGGTGGTGCTCACACCAGTCCATAAAGACCACGACACATTTTACATTCCATTTGGATTGAGTCACCATTAACCTAAAATATGTTCCTGTGTGATTTAAGAACTCATATAAAACACATTTCAGCCATGCCGACTGTGCTTCCTCACTCGTCATTGATTCACTCCATTAATCACATTTAGGTTTCTACTCACATTTTTTCTCAGCACTCAGATGCATTTTACTGATGTAACTGCAGCTGCACAGTTCAGAAACCTCCCTCGTTTCATGTCCCACCTGCTCTGATTTTCCTCCACTTACTGTATCGGCACTGTGGAGTTTTAATTTTCATGGGGGGCGTTCAGGCACTGCTCTGCATGCATGCTGTTGATCACGTCTCAGGGCCGGTACATCGGAGACAGTGAAGGGCATTTTCCTCTACTGCCTTCTTCATTTGCAACATAAACCCCAAGTGATGACTTGAGTTATTCCTCACAGCATTATTGCACTGTTACTGATATATAAACCTGCTACAGGACGTCTGAGAGCTGCTCAGAGTGTTTGCAGTCATATTAAGTTACTGTCACACATAAATTACCAATAGTTGCATTCAGCTGTCGATGTTGAAAAACCAGGAAAAAAGATCGTAGAAACAACAGAAAAATGTAACAAGCAACTTCACGGCATTTAGTACTTCGAAGGTTTGTTTACAAATGAATGACAACCTTGTTATATGCACAAATTTTACTTAAAGGGATTTTCTAGCCATTTTGAAGTATCTCTCCCCGTGATTAAACGAATACTACGGTATTTTACCTATTGTAATCTAGAAGACAGGTCAAAGTTACCAGGGCTCCTAGTCCAAGGAAAATAAGTTGCACAGCCTTGTTATTCACTCCCCGGCCTTTGTCCTGACCTTAAGGACACTTAACAATATTGGGAATGTTAAGGGTTGCATGGTGACGCAGTGGTTAGCACTGTTGCCTCGCGGCAAGAAGGTTGCAGGTTCGAAACTCGGCTGCGGCCTTTCTGCGTGGAGTTGTATGTTCTCCCCATGCATGCGTGGGTTTCCTCCGGGTACTCCGGTTTCCCCCACAGATCACAACATGCCCTATAGGTTATAAATTGTAAGTCGCTTTGGATAAAAGCGTCTGCCAAATGAATAAACATAAACATGTCAATAATCCCCAGTGAGTCGTGGTGGAAGGCTGCTTATACTGAGCCAGGATCCTCTGGAGGTTTCTTCCTGTTAAAAGGGAGTTTTCCTCTCCACTGTCGCTAAATGCTTGCTTAGTATGAGGATTGCTGTAAAGACTTGATGCAATTTGCTGGCTTCCTTATATAGGAAACTTTTTGCTGATTGGCTTAACGAACTGATCTGTATTGGAATGTTTATTATGTGAAGTGCCTTGAGACGACTCTTGTCGTGATTTGGCGCTATATAAATAAAATTGAATTGAATTGAAAACTTGAATTAATAAAGAGATCCTTTGTCTATGAATGCTTAATAATGCACTAAGTAACGTTAATAAAGGGAGACTTTTTGAAAAAGTGTTTGTGTAACTAATTGTGTAATGAGAAATTGACAATGATCTCAATGCGGACATGTCAACTTTTTTCAAATTATAATAGGTCTATCATTTATATCAAATGTTTTTACAAAGTTCTTCACACAAAATCCCTCTCACGTAAAATGATTTCGGACGTTTTATTCTTGACGTTTTTAGTATGTTCCAGAATGAGCTGTTCCAGGGCCCTGTCACTTTAAGAAAACAAGCTGTCGCAGACCATGCCCACCCTTCTAAAGGGCTTGGAGTAGAGCTACTCCACCTCCAGTGTCAACAGGTGAGGGGAAGTTCTGTGTAATTGTGCATTTGTGACATCACTGTCAGGGACCATTTGAAAAGGCTTATTTTAGGCGTATAATTGCTGAAACCATCCATGGTAAACTGACTGACTGGACTGGAAAGCTCTGAACAAAGTTCTAGTGAATCGGTTGGAACGAGTTCAGCTGGAACAATGATTGAGCCTCGAATGAAAGTCAGCACTTCCTGATATAGTCTTGGGCTGATGACCTGGGCAGGAAGACAGGTGTTGTGGGTAGAGGAGTCCTGGAGTTGGTCTGGTCTGAGGGAAATGATGAGGGTGATGTAGGCTGGTTGGTGGAGTTCGGGGCAACTTTGGGTCTGAGATGGAGGAGTTAGGGGTGATTAGGATGGAAGTGGAGGTCAGGAAGCCAGTGGCACAGGAGTTAAGTGCTCACCCCGTGATTGGAAGGTTGCAGGTTTGAGCCCCGCTTAGTTTGTCGCTGTCATTGTGTCCTTGGGCAAGACACTTAACCCCCCTTGCCTGATGGTGATGGTTGGAGGGACCAGTGGCACCAGAGCTTGGCAGCCTCGCCTCTGTCAGTGCGCCCCAGGGCAGCTGTGGCTACAATGTAGCTCATCACCACCAGGGTGTGAGTATGCATGTGAATGGGTGAATGACTGATTGTGTGAGATAGTTTGTGTTTCAAACTTTCTCCGCATGCTACTGGATAATAACAAGGTGAAATACTCACTGCAACGGATATCGGTTAACAAGGCAGTCTGCTTGAAGAAGGTAAAAATACATCATTTTTCTAAATAAAGGATTTACATAAATCTATCTGCTGCTGATTCTAATAAAGTCCAAGTCCAAAAAGTCCAAAATTGGTGTAAAAGCTGTTTCAGATGAGCTGTCGCCCACTTGTTCTACACCATCGTATCATTCCGCCCTCCAGACAAATAGATGACCCTGATTGGCCCACAAAACCGATAGAGCACTATGATTGGCCCACCAGTGAGTGCCTCATTAACATTAATTTTGATTATGAAAATTTCTTGGGCGAAAATTGTCTAACGATCAAAATGTGATTAATCAATATTATTTAATTACAATTCATTTAATTAATTAGACATTTTCTATCTAGTCCCACCCCTACATATATATATATATATATATATATATATATATATATATATATATATATATATATATATATATATATATATATATATATATATATACATAAGAGGCTTTCTATTTGCTTGTGAAATTGGAAAAGAAAAAAGGGATGAGAGTCAGGCAGGCGATAGAGAGAGTGAAGGAGAGATGAGAGGCGCTGCTGCAGAACACACCTCATCTCCTCTTTAGCTGGAGGGATAGAGGGAGAAAGTCTGTGCCAATTTTCTCATCTGGTCAGAGACGAAGAGGGAGAGCCAGCAAAGTAATATTTCAGGAATCTTAGGAGATAAATGAACAAAGGACTGACAAGGAGAAGAGAGGAAGACGGGACAAAAACACCCGGAATGTGAAGAAGCTGAAATGAAGAAGCAAATGGAGAAGGAAGAAACGACTGGGAGAGATGCAGCCAGTGCCTTTGCTGCGGTAAGATATTAGAAATATGTTGATAAAATAACAGGAGCTTGCAGGACATTGCAGCACTCACAGACACACGTAAAGTCACTTGCACACATGCAGCAGAGGATGCAGCCACTCAAAGGTGGAGAGAGCAGGTGTGTGTCTGAAATGGAGAAGCTCGGGGGGGCTGCTAGAGGAAAAGAAATGTCTGTATCAGTGTGTGTGTGTGTGTGTGTGTGTGTGTGTGTGTGTGTGTGTGTGTGTGTGTGTGTGTGTGTGTGTGTGTGTGTGTGTGTGTGTGTGTGTGTGTGTGTGCGTGCTAGAACACATTTGGATGCAGAGCAATGCGTCTCTGTTTTTTTAAATCTGCATCCAGCACCTTTATCTCCGTCGTAGCATCCCTCTTTCTTGTGTTGCTGCTCACATTTTCTGTGCCGTAGTTTCACGACCCGTTCACAGCACGGGGAAATCCATACATGTTTCTTTTCCTTCTGTAGTTTTCTGTCTCAGCGTTATTTGGAGGTCTTTTTTCATCACAAATATCATCATGGAGAAATGATGGAATAGTTTGACTTGTGAAATCAGTCTTTGTTACTTTCAATCCTCATATTCTTCTACATCAACAGTTTGGTTTTCTACAGTTTGGATTGTTTTCTTCATAGCTTCTTTGCAGAGAACAAAAATCACTATATACTGTAATCTAATTAGTTTTTACTGAGCATGATGAAGAACTGAGTGTGAAAAGGTCAGAATTGTGCCCTTAAAGGGAATGATTAACATTTGATTTCAAGGTTGTTTAGCTTCTTCTTCCTCTAAAACCTTGTGAATTTCAATTAGTGAGTTTTTGAAAATCATTTGTGCATTTTGCTTTTTTCTTTCTTTTTTTTTGCCTCATATACAAAATAAATCAGTCAAAATAGATGCATAAGTGAGATGTTGCAAAAAAAATTCCATCGCATGCATTAATTGTTTTCATTTGACTTGCCCATCTGAATATGTGGCTGTGACTTGTAAACATCAGTAGATTATTCGTTTTAGGCTGGTGACTTGTTGCCTCACATCAGGGAGTTTAATCATCTGAGTCTCATGCTGAACTGAAGGAGGGTGGATGTAGAGGTGGATTGGCGCAGTGCCTGCAGTGATGTGGACCTCATATCGGTTTTGTTAGAGACAATGCTAATGGGACAGGTAAAGTCTAGATGTATTGGTTAATCCATATTTCTACTAAGAAGCTGCAAAAACTGAGGAGAAGCTGAGGCAAAAGGTCTGGGAAGAGCTTGACGATCTTGAGAACATGGAGGTTAAGACATATCAGATTTGCCTATATCTGGTGGGAGAGGTGAGTGGAGAGGCGTTTAAAGGCTCTCAGTCCTCAAGTTTAAAACCACAAATTTAAAACTTCACTTTTTTTGAGTGTGGTTCATAAAGAACTGCAGAAACATAAAATTCAAAGTCTGACTTTTCCATTTTTATCAACTCATCTCTGAAGCTGTGTCATAAATGGACTTTTACTGAAACATAGTGTTGTGTTACATTTGTCCACCGGAATGTCAATAAAGTTATGCTTTTGTTCAAACTGATATTTGCAGGTAAGAGTTAACTGTTAACTTGGTTAAAAAAATGTTTATTTGTTTTTGTGTTTTTTTTCACAGCTAATTTAACTGAGGCTGATTTTACAAGTAAAAGAAAAGATAAATAAAAAAGAAAAGAGGAGGAGGATATGTTGCATAACCTTCGCCTTTATTTCAAGAATATCCAAGTAGAATAATCTAATGTTGCAGAGAGTTGTCTCGACTGCAGTGGAGAGAAAAGATCTGGAATCTCCTCAAAATGGATGGACTGGTCGATTGAGTTTAGCACTAAGAAATCACAAAATGATCCATCTAATTCTCTAACATTTCTATCAGCATTCATCTGTCTTTACGTAAGCAGTTCGTTAAAAAACAGCCGGCAATTATTTACATTTACTAAGGATCCTTTTTATTACTCCCCCTTCTGAGAATCCTGCTGTGGATCATTTGTGAGACTTTTTAAAAAAAAACTTTCACAGAAATCTGACTCAGAGGCGTCAGCGGAGTTCTAATGGCCACCAAGAGCGAAAACATTCTCAATTAATCTAAAGACTGTAGAGTGTTCAGATTGCAGCCACTGATTCATGCAGACCAATTCAACTCCCGTTTTGTGGGCAATTCAAAATGCAAGGAGACACTCTACTGGCGCACATCCGTACACAACTCTGCTTTTCTGACATGGCCGTAAACGCTGCGAGCGTTTGAAGGCAAACGTTTAAAGTGGAGAACATCAAAATGAAATGATGAATCCATTATTGAGCAGGTTGGATGTGGAAAGATGAGGGAGTGGAGATTAAAGCGGACGAATGAGATATGACAAGTCCCAGGAGGGGAAAGTGTTCCTGTTCACACGTTAAACTGACTGGCTGTTAAAAAGAAGCCAGAATAAACGTTTTCAGGCTAAACTGTGTTTTAATGCATGTCAGTAATTAAAAAATAAAATCTGTGAAGGATGCTGCACCTGGATCATAACCCAGGAGCATTTCTCTGCATGATCCCCTCACTCTAAAACCAAAACCTGACTTCAAAGCTTGGAAGGTTTTACATTAAATCCTGTCAGTCAGAAACGGCGAAGATGACAGAATACTTAAAAAGCTGTGCAAATGTCAGAACATGTTAGAAAATGATTTCATTACAACTTCCTGAACATGCTTTGACTCTTTTAGAGACACAGAACAGATCAGAGTTTAATGCAGAAAAGCTCTTTTGTTGTTTCAGAAATAATAAGATTTAACGTCTAATCATTTGAATCCTATTTCATTATCAGAAATAAAAGAACACAGATTATTTCCTCAGCTCCTACAGATTTTTGAATTAACTGTATATTTGGGAAGGATGACGCAGAATAAATCTATATTTTCCCCCTGTGGGGTACATGCACCCTATTTACAGGGAGTCCAGGCAGAGGCGGCTTCGTTATGGCGGTGGGTAAATGTCTAAAGGTTTGGACGGCAACAGGCACAACATGAATCTGGATCAAATAAGACATTGATCCATAACTTCTGGTCCCAGCTCAACCAGCTGAGTTGTTCAGCCTGACAGATGACATCAAGCAAAGCAAATCCTAACAATAAATAATAGGGGCAATTAAGCCTGGAAGATTTGTTTCCATGGTGTTTCCATGGTGTTACGCCTCTTCTATGATCTTTCATAGGACTTAATTTAAAAACATCAATCTGCCCTGTAGCATAACATTATTATTATTTTTGAATGATAATTAATAATGATAGAACTTTAGTATTTAAGGTGTATTATTGTAACATTTGTGTCTCTAACCTTTCAAGTCAAATTATCATGATTTTGTTAAAGGGCCCGTGTCATGTTATTTAACACCTTCCAAAACAACAACAGGGACAAAATGTTATAAAATATTACAGTTGGCTTGATTGAAATCTCATTTGTTCCTAAATATAAATTATTCTCTTGTGGCCTAGTGGTAGAGTGTCCGCCCTGAGACTGGGAGATCAGGGGTTCGATTCCTGGTCAGGTCATACCAAAGACTTTGAAAAAAATGGGACCCAATGCCTCCCTGCTTGACACTCAGCATTAAGGGGATGGATTGGGGGGTTAAACCACCAAATAGTTCCCGAGCGCGGCTGTGTCTGCAGCTCACCGCTCCCCCAGGGGATGGGTCAAAAGCGGAGAACAAATTTCGCACACACACCTGTGTGTGTGACAACTAATGGGACATTAACTTTTAACTTTAACATCTTGATAAATTACCCACACTTGTATAGCACCTTTCAGAGTCAGAAGACTCCAAAGGGCTTTACACTACAGTGTATCATTCATCCATTCACACACATATTCACACACTGATGAAAATGAGCTACAAAGTAGCCACAGCTGCCCTGAGACGCACTGACAGAGGCGATTATGTCAATCTGGAAATAAGACACCATGAAATCATGCCTCCACTCATGTGAATTACACCCATTTCATGATATGACCCCTAGCAAAGCACCTTTTTCAAGACGCAAAATGCAAAAGGTGAACTTTCTATGAGAAGCTGCGAGTCATTTCCTGGTGGCTGATTTGAACTAGAAACCCATCTAAAAATCTACCTTGGTAGTGGGGGTTCAACAAGAATTCAGTTAAATCACGGTCAGATTCTAGCTCCGTTTTGAGAGCTCCTGGAGATAAAATCCATCCATTTCTGCTGATTAAACTCTTGTGAAGAATGGAGAGGGATCCTGTTACTCTTGCAGACAAAAACGCATTTTTGGTTTCTAGGTATAATTTAAAGTACAGACTAGATACTTTATGCTAGCTACACAGAGAGAGTGGCTGTTAGTGTTTACAGTCCAGGGTCCTCATTTATAAAATGTTGCTTATAATCCTTACTAAAACCCTATTTAAGCTAAGCAAAAAAAAAAAATTGTTAAACAAATTTTCTAACTTATTAAACACTGCTTATGACGGCTCCACTCAGTTTCTGGTTTATAAATCACACCTGTCCTAGAAATGAGCTGAGGTGTTTCTGGATCACATCCCACCTCCATCACACCCGTTTTATACCATAAATGGGCAATGTAAAGTACATTATGAATATTCAATGCCATGGGTAACCTAGACAACCAAGACGGAAATCCACGCTCTGGGGCATGACATTTAGGCATGGAAAAAATGTTTTATTTCCTTCGAACGGCATGGCACAGTATGCTGGTCTAGTGTGCATTGCTGGTCAAGCATGGAATTCTGGGGATTGGAAGCTGGACCAGCATGCTAGACAAACATCTAATCCTGGACCAGCATGCTGGGCTAGCAGCTAAATGAGCACCAAAACACAACCAATGCTGGTAAGAGGGTGTGGTGGCCTATGCTATTGTTTTCAGTAGGGAAAGAGAGATCACTGTCTTTATCTAAGGGGAATATTTATTGAAAACATTTTCATTTAACCCAAAAGGGCTTTTGTCAGGAAATACTGTCAAACAGAAATCAGCCAGAATGTCGGCTAATCCCCACTGGAACGAGCCAGTGTTCTGCCAGAACTCCTGTTTAAGGAAGCCCCCACATGTGCACTTCTGCTGGTTCGGGGCGTGGTGACATAAACATGCACCCGGTATGGCGACATGAAAATAGATGCAACTTACTAAATATGTGTCCATGTTCTCTTGGAAACTGTTGTCCTTCATACTGGGATTGAATTGTGTTTATTCCCTACAAACCAGTTGCCTTTGTCAATAATAAAAGCCAATTCAACAGTGAGATCAGAGAAATATTCAAGTAAATACGAAGCACCAAAAACTGCCACCAGCATTCAAATATAACTGATTTTCTTGCTAATTGCTGTCATAAACATCTGTGTGAGAGGAATGAAAATTTACTTCAAAAGAAACACTTGAAGTTTTATGAGTGACTAAACAAGCACTGCTCCATCAAGGTCAGACATTTACTTCTGTTTAAATTAATTAAATGCTGGATTTTCATAGAAAATAGTCATTTAACTTTGCTCTCTTTTCTACATGTCATGAATTTCAGCCCGCTTCTTTTTATTTTAGCATAATTCTGCTCACAGCTTGAGAGAAATCACTGATGTCACCTTACCTTTTTGCAGTTAATTCATGGTTTTCTTGTCACTTTTTGTAACTTTTGGCTAACATGAATTATAAAAAATACTTTCTTTCATTTAAGTGATGCATATTTATATAAATGCAGTGTTTATTCATTGTTTTTGCTCAACATTAGAGACACCACTGCAACAGGATGTCTAAAAATACACAATATTAGAGTTCTGTTGGAGTAAAAACACTATAAAAACTGGAGTTTTGAGCTTATTAAAAAGAAATTCTTGATTTTTTATTAAAATAATAACAGGTTGAGAAAAGTGCATGATGTTATTTTTCCACTGCGGGGAGAATCCTTTCACAGTCAGTCTATTACTGAGATGCTCTGATTACTGCCAAACTGTCTATAAAGCAGTGGTGGGATTATTTTAATTTGAATTTTAGCACTTTTAATTTAAATCTCCTCCATTGCTGATACAACACCGGTTTGAGTGTGTGTGTGTGTGTGTGTGTGTGTGTGTGTGTGTGTGTGTGTGTGTGTGTGTGTGTGTGTGTGTGTGTGTGTGTGTGTGTTTATTTTTGCTCCAGTAGCAGCAGAGGCAGCAGCTATTCACACCGTCGTTCCCACTAAAGTCTGAAACACAGAAGACCGATAATATAAAAGATCCTTGGGGTCTTTTTTAAAACGTTACATAATGAATAACGTTTGTGGGAGGCGATGCTCTGACTAACACAGAATGTGAAGTACTCACATGAAATATTAACATACTTGCTACGTGGTTTCATCACTCCCGCACTCCTGGCTGAAATTTACACTAAAGACTACAACAGAACATGATCTTCCTCTGCCTTTTTCTACCAGAATCATCCCAGAATCTCTTCGGTGTCTCTGTGATTGCTGTCATTGACATGCTGCCTGTGTATAGATGGACTCTTACAGTGAAATGTTGTTTTACACACAATAAATGCTCCTTTCTGCGTTCTATTTCAGATTTTTCTATCCGTTCTTGACTGTTTTCTCGTCTTCTGCTCTCCTTTATTGTTCTTGACTGAAGAGAATTTGAGCTTTCATGACTGCATAAAACACCCTTCAAACTAACTCCTGTGACCTTGTTACAATAATACTGAAATCCAAATGTGAACTGATGTGCAAACACGGGTTTTTGAGGAAGTGGTGCATTTCGTTTTGTGAGCTGATTCCTTTGGTCTGTTTTTGAATCTCTGTTTTTCTGCTCTTGTGTTTCTGACAGCAATGATCCAGAACTGAGCCGTCCACCTTTGGTCAGCTCTTGAGACAGACGCTGTGGCATCAGAGGCTGTCGTCCAGCTGCTGTGCACTTCCTGCTACAATTAAAGCCAAAATGAGACTTTGTTTAGAGGTTTCCAACATCAGAAGATAATTTTCAGATATTTAACATTCCAGAGAAGCTTGTCTTTCTTGTTATGAGCGATGACAGTGAACCATTTGCTCTCCAGCTACAATTAGCTCTCACATCACTCGTCCAAATGATTTGTCGCTCTTCTCCGTAACAAAGACTTCCTCACCTTGTCTGAGTCGGCTCCTGAGATCTGCGAGGATTATGAGGCCGGCTTTAGTGCTTTTCCAATCACATTGTCTCTTGTGTGTGTTTAGTGGTGTGTGTTTGCTCGTTGTAGTGGGCTCACTGCCTCCTGCACTGCCATGGCATGTTTCCTGCCCGGTGAGGTGTGTGTGTCAGATCAAGCCGTGGTTCTCCCCGGACTCCGTCTACCATGAAGCTCCCACCATGGACTGCAACAACCTGCTGCTGACCAAGCTCCCATTGCCCATACCACCAAACACACACACGCTGCGCCTGCAGAGCAACCTGCTGTCAGTGCTGGACACTGCAGTTCTGCAGGGGCTCCCCAACCTCACCGACCTGGACCTTTCCCAGAACCTCTTCAGCCGTGTCAGAATGGTAACTCAGAGTGCGTCCCTGCCTTCTCTGCTGTCCTTACACCTGGAAGAAAACCATCTCAGTCACCTTCCAGAAGCCTCTTTCTCCTCACTGACAGCTCTGCAGGAACTCTTCCTCAGCCATAATAACTTACACTCAATAGCATCTGGAGCCTTTTCTGGTCTCGACTCTCTCCTTCGCCTTCACATCAACAACAACAGACTCACTACCGTGGATCCTTTATGGTTCAGGGCTTTGCCTTGCTTGGAGGTTCTCATGCTTGGAGGTAATCCTGTGGAAGCCCTGCCTGAAAGGGGCTTTACAGCTCTGAAATCCCTCAGGAGCCTCGTCCTTGGGAGTATGGGTCTGAAAGGGTTGGCTGAGGAAGCTCTCGAAGGGCTCGAGGGTCTAGAAAGCCTCTCCTTCTATGACAACCTACTCACTAAAATCCCAAGACAAGCCCTGAAGAGGGTACCAGGACTGAAGTTTCTCGACCTCAACAAGAATCACATCAAACTAATCGAGACAGGAGACTTTAAAGGTATGGTCCACCTGAAGGAGCTCGGTCTCAATAATATGGAGGAGCTGGTGTCGATTGAGAAAGCCGCCCTGGAGAACCTCCCAGAGCTCACTAAGCTCGAAATGACCAGCAACCGTCGATTGTCATATATCCATCCTCAGGCTTTTGTCGGGCTGAGCAGGCTGGAGAGCCTAATGCTCAACTCCAACTCCCTGAGTGCTCTGCACCAGAACATCATCCTCTCCCTGCCAGGCCTTCAGGAGGTCAGCCTACACACCAACCCACTGCGATGTGACTGCCTGTTTCACTGGGCTGCCAGAGACACCGCTCATCCTCACCTTGAGAAGGAAACAAACACACCAACAGCCCGCACGGTGCGTTTCATCCAGCCTCAGGCAACCCTGTGCTCCGATCCTCCAGAACTGAGAGGCCGCAGAGTGCGTGAAGTGTCTTCTGGAGAAATGTCCGCCGTTTGTTTGCCCACAATTCCTGCTGCTTCCCTCCCTTCCTATGCAGGGGTCCAAGAAGGGGGGAAACTGGTTTTGCACTGTCGAGCACTTGCAGAGCCGGAGCCTCAACTCTACTGGGTGACCCCCTCTGGCCTGAAACTTGGACCTTCACCAAACCCTCTCTCCAAAGCTTTACCGTCCACAATTCACTGCAACAACACAACTTCTCATGGACTTCACCACTCATCTGCCTCCAGTGTCCAGGTTCAAGAGGAAGCTGCCTGCCAACTTTTCAGACACTACCAGCTGCTCCCCGAAGGAACTCTGGAGATCATCAAGATCTCCCCAAGAGAGGCAGGATTGTATACCTGCGTGGCTGAGAATGCCCTGGGAGCGGATACACGCAGTGTTACTGTGGGTGTTCACAACAGAGGAAAAAACAGAAGGAGGGGCATGCTGACCAAACTAAAGAAATTCCAAGCGATCAGAGCAGATGTCAGGTTGGAGTTGAGAGAAGTTGGAGAACACTACGCTATCTTGTCCTGGCAGAGTGGACAAAACCTCCCCTCCACCCGTTTATCCTGGCAGGCCGTGTACTCAAGCTCCCACTCGCCAACATACACCACACGCGTCCTCGCTGGCACGCAAAGCTTCAACCTGACTCACCTGCAGGCGGAGACATTTTACCGAGTGTGTCTGCATTTGGGGATTAGCGAGAGCACCAAGCAGGCAAGTCAGAGATCAAGCGAGAGCAGAAAGCCTCAGTGCATCTCGTTCAGGACAAAGGAAGTCCCAGAGCCTCAGCCTAGACTGCAGCTGAACCCCCAGCTGACCTCCACGGCGGTCACACTGCTGCTCCTTGCTCTCCTACTGCTGCTAGCAGGGCAGGGTTGGGACACCGAGCCTGGCGGGGAGGCAGGAAATCACCGCAATACCCTCTATGTGGACATAAAGGTTCCCAAGACTGTTATCATATACCAAAAGACAGAAGAAAATGACAAATATCAGTCAGATCAGAGGGAGATGCCGCATAAGTGTTGAGCTCATTGCACATCCTCACAAGAAACATTACAAATGTACACCTGAAACTCACAACAGTAGAGGAACCACAGCTGACGGTTTAGTGAGAGATTTGTATTTATTTTATATACAGTACAAAGTATATATCGTTTCTGTGTTGGGGTATGCTGTAAAGACTGCTTCTCTACTAACCGGGGAAATGAAATTGGACAATCACACTCCTGCTGAACACAGGATGAACCACTGAGCCTGAGCTGACCACTGGACTGAAACTAAGAGAGTCTGATGTAAGGCAAGATTCACAGAGAAGCTCAAGAACCTCAAGGGTTTTATATCCGTTTAATGTCAACATGTTTCCACTGACTGAAGCATACTCTCTCCAAGCTGATTTAAAAAATAAATAATAACATCTGCATTGTGACTGATGCCGAATGACCTTTCTGCTTGTTTGGACAGTTTAAGACAAAGTGATTGATGTAAACAATGCTTTTGCTTATAGCTCCTGCTACTTTAGACTGGTTTGTCCAGTTAGCAGTACATATATGTATACTCATGCAGATCCCGGTAAAGCATCTCAAATACAGTTTTAAAATAAAAGTGATTAAAAAGACATGGTCTTACTTGAATTTTGTGGAAAACGTTTATCTGTTTTTTTTTAGATAATTTGAGGTTATATTAGTGATTAGTAATTGATGACGTAAACACCTTTTGTTCGTTAATCTGCAGTCACATCTTCCTTATCCGTATTTACAGTTTTTCCACTGCACCAATCAGCATAATTATAGATTGGGTCATCTGATGCTTCTGCACTGAAACTCAAGACTTGGTGTGTCCCCTGCTGGGGAAGACATGAAACTGAACAGCAGCTACTGATATGTTCAAGAAAAACGGACTCAAAGATCACTGAATCTTATTTACTCACTCAGAACCTATACTTGTGAGAGAGGAACTGAGTTTAGCTTTGGGATTTAGTTTATTGACATGTTCTAATAAAGATCTAGGGGGAAGTAAACAGGTTTAGTCTATGGGGTGACGTATGCATAGGGGGACAACATTAGATACTCTAGAGAACAGCTTCTATCTCAAACGTTTGATAGGGTTTCGTGCAAACACTATTCTAGAAAACGCTACATCACTGTCAGTGTTGCAGTATGATTTTTTGTTTACTTAAGTCTATAGATCTTTGAAGCACAAACAGCAGCAGCTGCAGTCCCAGGAGCAACAGGAGTAAAAACACATTTCTGCCAGATTAACTGTGTGAAACGATGAGCTGTGTAAAGGACAACATTTTATAGCATATTCCATACAGAAGCAATTCAATGTGCTTTCCAGGCGCAAGAACGGCAAGATGTAAAACATTAATAACAACATAAAACAGTAGATGGGCAACAAGAAAGACTGAGCAGTTACAGTGCAGACGGTGCAGCAAGAAACAATCATTCCACAGCTGATGAGTATGAAAGTTTTCAGTTTTGATTTAAAAGTTTAAATGAGGCACATGTGATTTCACGAGAAAGCTGATTCCATCTGTGTGCAGAGTAGTAGCCAAGTAGCTAAGTTGCTCACTTGATCGTAAGCATGCTACATGCTAGCAATGGCATTAGCCAGACATTAATTCTGTTTGCTTCACAGCCGGACAGGACATGGGGGAAAAAAGGATATATTTGTTTTATTTAGAAAAAAATAAGAATAAATAAATAAATAAAGGGGAAAAAAAGAGATAAAAAATAATAATAAAGCATTGGCATTAGCCAACCTGCTCGTAGTTTAACTCTTCATCCAAAACTTTGGACTGATTCTGTCTTTTACAACGATTTGTGTCATTGCTGGTTTCTCTATTTTCCTCAACAGCACCTAGATTACCACACTGTCCACTAGTAAAATGAGACTGTGGTGCGCACAGTTAACAAAGCTTCAAATCAGTAAACAAAGGTTTGAGGGATTTAATTAATCTATCCATTCGAAGATTTGTTTCAGCACTGCTTGAAAATGATCCTGACACTAGTTATTTTACATTAGAGCAATGGAACCACTTCACTGTGAAGAACAAGAAACTTTGAGATGTATCATTTTTCACGCATTTAGTCAACAAGCAGTTTTTTAGTGTATTTAGTGTGCTATAAACCAATCAGGAAATGACTACAATTTTTGGTAAATACTCAAATTCAAATTATAACATTTTAGACAATATGAATGTATTTAGTTCATACTTTTCTACTTTCCCCAAAGATCCTCTTTAAAGATCAATCCTGGTAGCAGCAGAGACAAAATATTTGAGGGACAGATCTCAAATTCAGCTTTAAATATCAGTTTGAATTAATTATTAAATATTTCACAGTAAGGAAACAGAGAATGTAGGACAACACAATGGGGATTTGTTAAGTATTTATTCACACAAACCAGAATACATATCTCCAAGTAAAGCAAGACAATACTGTATATACATACAATAAACTCGATTTATACCATATTCAAATATTTACAGAGTTTCTGCCATTGTTTTAGAGTAAATCAACCATTATGCAGGTCTGGTAAAAGAGGACCAGTTGAGTTAACCTCAGTTAGTCATCCAAGGCGCTGCCGCTGGTCCTCAATAACTGTGCTGTCCTGTGTTAACTGAGGATGATAATCGGTTCAGTAACTGACTTGAATAAAGTTTGATGTGGTGGCCCTGAGAGCTCAGAGCACTGTGCAGATATAATGAATACAAGGAAACAAAGAAAGTCTTTTCAGTAATTATTAAAACATTTAGTAAGCACACAAACTCACAGCCTTCTGCACCAAGGTTACTTAACTTCTATTAAATAGAAAGTGTGTTATTTTTGTTTGTTTACTTGTTTTTTGTTCGCAGTAAAAAAAAAATAATCTTTCAGGGCCACGTGAAAACAGAAAAACAAAATACATTTTCAACCAGTTAAAGCTTCAGCATCAGTTAAAAACCAGACTAAATCTCAAATTTCATATGCTTTCCTTCTCACAGCACTAACAGTAAAGGCGATTTCCAGTTTTAATTACAAGGAGACATCATAATTAGGTGCTGGAGTTGATCCCAAAAACGGTACAATAAATGGTTCCAGCGTAAAACGAGCATGCTGACTCTCTTCACCACTGACCAATATGGACGATCATTTACAAAAATATAAATCTATAGTGCATTAACAAACAGAAGCTGGGATTAGCTCTCATTTACAAGCTGACAGGATCGATGGTGTAGTAGACAGGAGCAGGAGTGCTTTGCTGTTTCTGGCCTGCTTTACTGATTATGGCTCCCAACAGGAGGAAGATCAGAAATCCACTCTTTGGCACTGCTGGCTTGTGCAGAGCGTGAGAAAACATAAAAAAAAATAAAAAATAAAAAAAACCTGTGGATCTGCTGAGTAACTAATGAAAGCAAGGGGGGTTTGTCATGTTGGAACATCAGGTAAGTTTAAGTAAACCAAACTAGACATGACTTTTCCTAACAAAAACACAATATAATGCAGTTGTAGCTGATTTCAGAAGATGATTAAAAGTTTACTTTGGGTTCTTTGACAGCCAATATTATCTGAACTAATGTAAGATGAGCGTTTAACTCTGGTGTCAGCAGTGAAAACCAAATTTTACCTGCAAAACTGGACGTACATCAATATTAAATGCTATGTATTTATAATTCACCCTCAACTTATGGTATAAAATGAAGATACCATTACATATTGCAACTTTATCAGATCAAAAGAATTCCCTATGTAACTAAGTAAATAGCTTAAATCACAAATCCTGAGATTTTTATCCAATGGCACCATCTAGAGGCTGACAAATGTATCACACCTCAAGCCATTCTCACCACTTCTGCGTTAATGGCCGATAACAGCACCTCTCATTCATGAATGCGCCCCTCTAGCCTGCCAACAGAGATAAAGGAACATTGTTTTACCCTTTCGGTAAAACTTTAGTTTAGGGAATACAAATTAACCATTAAATAGCTTCCAATTAACATGCATATTAGTGGACTACTAAGCCTGAACTAGTCATTATTAACTCATGCACTGCCATTGATAACTAAAGTTGTCATTTGCATTTTTTTTACTATGTGGGCGTCGGAACGAGCCACCGCACCGTGAGAACATCTCAGCTCTAAAGCCGATCTTCATCCGCGTACGTCACACGTCAAGTGACCAGGAAGCAGAAGATCCATGTGTTAGGAGATCGTTTTGGGCCGCTGCTGTAAAAAAAGTGAGGCACGAACCGGAAAAGCTTCTGCCGATCACAATTTACACAAATTACAACATTGGTAATAAGAATCTAATAACAGCTTAATAATGACTAATTCAGACTTATTAGTCCACTAGTATGCATATTAATTGGATATATATATATATATATATATATATATATATATATATATATATATATATATATATATATATATATATATATATATATATATATATATATATATATATATATATAAATATAAATATATATATATATAATTCTGTAAGTAAGAAGCTAATGCTGAGCGGGGCTCAATTAAAATTGCATGGGGCTCTACCTACATTAAATCCCAGAAGTGGGAAAGACTCTCACTTTTATGGATTTCTGAAAAAATCATAAAGAATTCCTAAAAGGGGGAAAACTTCGGATTGTAGCTTTAAATTCTCTGAAATATTCAAATATTTCATGTCAGAGTGATAATGCATGATTATATCATTCATGTTTATTCAGGTTAATTAAGCATCAGAGATCTGTTCTCGATTTAAATGAGCAAAAACACTCCTAAAATATTAAGATTATTCCTTAAATTTGTCAATAAAAACCAACATGTAAGGATTTTACATTCAGACAAAAACCTCAAGTACCTAAAGTAGGTCAAGGCAATGTTATCACACGTAATTCTGATGTATTTATTTAATGAATGGGTTTATGTTGTAGAACTGTGGAAGAAACGGTGCATTTGTATGATGAAGCAAGTGAGTGACAATATTTGGCAAAATAAATGTAGAGGATCTTGTCCAGTTGAGGCTGGGCCAGCAGGACTCAGCTGTGTTCTGGCATCCGCTCGCTGCCAGCACCGAGCCAGTAACTGTTACAGATTCAGTCAGAATTAGAGCTGAAAAACAGGACATTCAATAACGACTTTAGAACGTGCAATCTGAATTTGAAGATACTAAAGGTTTCAGCACCGGTGACTGGACCAGTTCTAGGCCCATTTACAGACTTTAATAGCTCAGGAAAATGAAAGCACTGCCAACACATTTCCCAGCCCAATGGACAAAGAGCCTTATGAAGAGATTTCCCTCCATCCTGGCCCTGAATCATCACTGAGTTCTTGATGAGATGACAATATTAATGTAGAACTGATCATTTTCCGTTCCTCTTTAAAAATGGAGGGAGTGTTTGAGTAAACACAAAAGTTAAAATGCAGCTATTTCATTCTCAGTTGCCATGGACACTAAACACAAGTTTCATTTCATCTGACAAAGAAAGTGAAAGTTCATTTGCAAATTGTGATCCTTTTATTCCAATTTTGTTTCTATTTAAATCAGAAAAAATAAATATTAAAAACTGCTTTGAGACTGAACTATTCAGTGAATCTGTTCTGTAGTTTTTGTATTGATTATTCTCATCTGCCAACCATGATGGCGTCACAAACACAAAAACCTTTAAGAGGGGGAAAACGCCTTTTCAGGGGTGTGCGTATGCAGCTAAACTCATCATAAAACCCGTCCGTTTTCCTACATATACATGCACACGTAAACATTCACACATCTCAGCTGTAGTTGTAGGTGAAGTTGTAAGAGCTAGGCTCCTTTGGCACCGGAGGTGGAGCTTCAGGGATTGTGATGTTCTCAAGGTCAAGGAGGCGGAGTTTCATCTCCATGCTCATGAGGGTATCTAGGTCGCTGCGTGTCAGGTCACTGCCCATTTCTCTGCCCAACAGCGCACAGAGACCATCGGTCCAGATGCAGTACTACACACACACACACACACACACACACACACACACACACACACACACACACACACACACACACACACACACACACACACACACACACACACACACACACACACACACACACACACACACACACACACACACACAAAGAGGAATATTCTGGTCAGAATGTGAATGTGTTAAGGGATTTTGTCTTTCAGTATTACATTCATGTCAACAAGCACACATTTGAAAAATAATATTTTGTCACTATTAGACAAAACAATTGTATCACCCCCCAAAAAGAAACTTACCACATAATAATATCCTGAGAATCTCTTAAAGGGGACAAATTATGATTTTTTTCTTAAGTTATAATAGTTTTTGGTCAAAACAAGACATGTTTATGAGGTGCTTTGCACATAAAGCAATTTCAGTAGTTTAATTCTTGACATTTTCAGTACATTCCAGAATGAGCCATTTTAGGGCTCTGTCAATCTAAGAAAACAAGCTGGAGCTGGCCATGCCCACCGATCCCCTGGTAAACTGTTATAAGCTGAGAAGCTCTTATGTCCAAGAAGGACTCTGCTACACTAGCAGCAGCTCTCTCTTGCCTGTGAGAGGTGGTCCTATGCTAATTTCCCCATTTGTGACATCACAAACAGGGATTTTTTGAAACAGCTCATTCCTAAACAGAACCACTGACAGAAAGCATGTGGATGTTTTTTTTCTCCACGTTTGGAGTGTTTAAAAAGGTAGCAGAGAGTCACATGGTGTCAGGTTCGTTGGCAGATCTGAAGCGTGACTGAGAGTTCTGTTGCCCAGACGCGGAGAGACGGAGATAACCGGCGTGGTTATTTCCTGTAGGTGTAGCTTGAGGGTTTAGAGGGCTGGTAAGCCTGGAGACTCGATGCAAAGTCTGGTGAGAATGATGACTGAGCAATGAATGAAACGCCGGCACTTCCTTAAGTAGTGTCGGCGTGATGACGTCAGTCGCCACGTTAGTGGCAGGAATGAATGGAATGCAGTCAGCTGGAGGAGTTCGTGACAGGACCCCCCCCCCCCCCCCCCCCCTCTAGGGACGGCACCCGAAGTCCCAGGACGGCGGGCCCAGAAGTCTGTTAGCAGGGCAGGATCGACAAACGAGCTCGTGGGCTCCCAAGAGCGTTCCTCAGGCCCGTACCCCTCCCAGTCCACGAGGTACTGCCAACCTCGTCCCCGGCGGCGGGCGTCCAGTATCCTGCGGACCGTGTAGGTGCGATCCGCCTCAACACCGCGGGGCGGAGGCACCCGGACCGGTGGAGGGTGGAGAGGAGAGGAGATCACCGGCTTAAGCTGGGAGACGTGAAAGACCGTGTGGATCCGGAGAGTAGCCGGGAGGCGTAGACGGCAGGTGACTGGATTGATGACCTTGAGGACAGGGAACGGACCCAGGAAGCGAGGAGTGAGCTTCCGGGAGCCAGCCGGCATCCTCAGGTTAGCGGAGGAGAGCCACACCTGGTCGCCAGACCGGAAGACGGGGCCAGGCCGGTGGCGGCGGCGATGCTGACGGGCATACTCCGTGTTGGCCCGGGAGATGGCCGCACGGGCCCGGATCCAGGCGAGCCGACAGCGGCGGACCAGCGTCTGGGCAGCAGGGACCTCCACCTCAGGCACCTGATGATCAAACAGAGGAGGCTGATAACCGTAACAGGTCTCGAAGGGAGACAGACTCGTGGCAGAGGAGGTCTGGAGGTTGTGTGACAGCTCCGCCCACAGGAGGAAGCGGGGCCAGGAGGTCGGCTGGGACGAAGCGAAGCAGCGCAGGTAGCGTCCAAGCTGCTGGTTAGCTCTCTCTGTCTGACCGTTTGTCTGCGGGTGGTATCCAGAGGACAGACTGGTGGAAGCACCGACCAGGCGACAGAACGCCTTCCAGAAGCGTGAGACGAACTGGGGTCCTCGGTCGGAAACCACGTCCTGAGGGAAACCATGGAGCCGCACCACCTGTTCCAGGAGCAGTTCGGCCGTTCTCTTGGCAGTGGGGAGGCCGGCCAGGGCTACTAAGTGCACGGCCTTGGAGAAACGGTCCGTGATAGTCATTATAGTGTCCAGGTGGTCGACCACCGGCAGTCCCGTGACAAAGTCCAGCCCGATGTGTGACCACGGCCGTTTGGGCACAGGGAGAGGCTGCAACTCTCCAGCGCCGGGTCGGTTGGAGGACTTGGAGCGAGCACACACATCACATGCAGCTGTAAACTCGCGGACGTCCTTCCTCATGGACGGCCACCAGAGAGCCCGACGGAGGAACTGGAGGGTACGGGCTTGTCCTTGATGTCCCGCGAGCCGCGAACAATGCCCCCACGTGAGCGCCTCTTGCCGGCAGGAGGCGGGAACGTAGAGACGGTTCGGTGGGGTCTCCGGCGGCGCTGGATCGCCAGGAAGTGCCGCCTGTATGGACTGCTCCAACGGCAATTGGAGGGAGGCCAGGAAGCGTTGAGTCGGCAGAATGGTCCGAGGCTCCGGGGGGGCGGCATCTGGTGCGAAACGCCGAGAGAGAGCGTCCGCCTTGAGGTTCTTGGAGCCGGGCCGGTAGGCGATATGGAAGTGGTACGGCTCGAAAAAGAGGGCCCACCGAGCCTGACGTGGGTTGAGCTGGCGGGCAGTCTGTAGATGAATGAGATTCTGGTGGTCGGTCCAGATCAGAAAGGGATCGGTGGTCCCCAGGAGCCACTGCCTCCATTCCTCCAGCGCCCATTTTATTGCCAGCAGCTCTCTGTCGCCAACCCCGTAGTTCTGCTGTGTGGGGGAAAACTTCCGGGAGAAGTAGGCACATGGGTGGAGCTTAGAGTCTGGACCCCGTTGCGAGAGAACGGCCCCCGCTCCCACATCTGAGGCGTCCACCTCCACGACGAAGGGCCGGGTCTGGTCCGGGTGGAGGAGGATGGGTTCCTTAGTGAAACGTCCGACCAGCTCATGGAAAGCACGGACAGCCTCTGGAGTAAGGCGAAAAGGGCGAGGCTGATTGGTGGTTTTGGTGAGGGAGGTCAGTGGTGCTGCGAGGGAGCTGAAGTTGCGTATAAACCTCTGGTAAAAGTTCGAGAAACCCAGGAAGCTTTGCAGCTGCTTCAGGGTCGTGGGTAGAGGCCACTGAGCTACGGCCTGAACCTTCTGGGGGTCCATCTTCAGGCCCTGGGAGGAGATGGTAAAACCCAGGAAGGAGGTGGACTCCTGGTGAAACGCACACTTCTCCAGTTTGCAGTAAAGTCCATGGTCCAGGAGGTGGGACAGAACCGCTCGAACATGACGGATGTGCTCTTCGGCCGTGCGGGAGTAGATGAGGATGTCATCTAGATAGACAAAGACCCAGCGGCCATACATGTCTCTCAGCACATCTGTAATGAACCGCTGGAAGACGGCGGGGCTGTTGCAGAGTCCAAAAGGCATCACCAAATATTCATAGTGGCCAGTGGGCGTGATAAAAGCGGTCTTCCACTCCTCACCTTCCTTAATACGGATGAGGTTATAGGCGCTGCGCAGATCCAGTTTAGTGAACACAGCGGCTTGTGTGATGGCGTCCAGAGCGGTGCCCATGAGAGGGAGAGGGTGACGGTCCCTGATCGTTATTTTATTTAACCCTCGATAGTCTATGCAGGGCCGGAGATCCCCCTCCTTCTTCTTAACAAAGAAAAACCCCGCGGCCCCGGGGGATGTTGAGGGTCGGATGAATCCCTTCTGCAGGGCATCAGTTATATAATTGTCCATAGCCCGGGTTTCCGCCGGAGAGAGGGAGAACAGGCGACCCCGAGGGGGGGTGGTGCCGGGCTGGAGCCTGATCTCCAGGTCGTAGGGTCGGTGAGGAGGTAACCTGGTAGTGGGTTCTTTAGCGAAGACCTGAGCGAGGTCGTGGTATTGAGGAGGGATGAGCGTCAGGTCTACGTCTGTGGGAGTGGCTGCTCTGGTCTGAGGTGCAGGGGAGTCCCGGTGGTTATGGCAACCCGTGCCCCAGGCCAGGACTTTACTGGTGGACCAGGAGATGTGAGGCTCATGGCGGCAGAACCAGGAATGACCCAGGATGAGTGGCGTGGCCGGAGCATGGATGACCAGGAAGTGGAGGGTCTCCCGGTGTTGGTCAATAGTCATGTGGAGACCCTGAGTTCGGTGGGTGAGAGGGTACGGCCTGATGGGCCGGCCGTCCACAGAGGTCACGGGAATGGGTCGGTCGAGGGCGGTGAGGGGTATCTTGAGCCGAGTAACCAGTCCGTGATCGATAAAACACTCCGCAGCCCCAGTGTCTAAAAGTGCCTCCAGTCTGGTCGGGCCTTGGTCCAGGTGGAGGGAGACCGGGAGAGTGGTTCGGTGTGGAGCCGGAAAGGTGGAGACTCCGGGTGGGACAGCTCCTACTCCGACCCGGAGGGACCTTTTCCCGGTCGTTTTGGGCACGTGCCACGGTGGTGACCCAAATCCCCACAGTAAGCGCATCTTCCCTCCTGGTAGCGCCGTGCCCGTTCCTCAGGGGGAAGATGTCCCAGCTGCATCGGCTCCTCCGTCAGTTGGTGAGCCGGCCGGCGGGGTGACGTCCTGGTGTGTACGGGGGCTGACATGGTGCTCGGCCGGTTCAGGATGCAGCGGTCCAGTTGGAGAGCCAGATCCACTGCCAGGTCCAGGGAGGTTGGGACCTCGTGCCCGATCATGCCCTCCCGGATTCTCGGTGACAGTCCCTCCAGGTAAACGGCCTTTAGGGCGGCGTCATCCCACCTCAACCGAGCTGCTGTCGTCCGGAAGCGAGAGGTGTACTGAGCCGCCGTCTGGGAGCCCTGGCGAAGCTGAAGCAGCCGCGTCTCGTCCGAGACCTCGCTGCTGGGGTGCACAAAAGTCTTTTTCATCTCCTTTACAAAAGTCTCATAGTCATTGCAGGCAGGAGATTTCTGATTGTAAAGAGCCGCCGCCCATTCACCGGCTCGACCTGTCAGCAGTGAGGTCAGCAGGGAGACACGAGAGCAGGATGTGGGGTAACGTGCCGGTTGGCACTCGAAAGTCATGGCCAGGGTTGCCAACATGCCCTCCGGGGATCCCCTGGTTCCGTCCCACTTCTCTGGAAGGCTGAGGCGTGGTTCCATCCTGTCAGGAACAGCTGCGGTCTGACGTTGCAGAGCGGTGGTCAGCTGGAGTACTAGCTCGGTGAGTGACTCGATCTTAGTTGCTTGGCGATCAGCTGTGGCGCGGAGCTGGTTCATTTCTGCCGTATGCTGATCCAAGGTTGCGCGCTGTTGAGCCACTTCGGCACGCAGACGCGCGAACTCCGCTGGGTCAACTTTGGGCTCAGTCATCCTGTCAGGTTCGTTGGCAGATCTGAAGCGTGACTGAGAGTTCTGTTGCCCAGACGCGGAGAGACGGAGATAACCGGCGTGGTTATTTCCTGTAGGTGTAGCTTGAGGGTTTAGAGGGCTGGTAAGCCTGGAGACTCGATGCAAAGTCTGGTGAGAACGATGACTGAGCAATGAATGAAACGCCGGCACTTCCTTAAGTAGTGTCGGCGTGATGACGTCAGTCGCCACGTTAGTGGCAGGAATGAATGGAATGCAGTCAGCTGGAGGAGTTCGTGATACATGGCTGCACAAATGGATGCAAAAGGTGAGTTTTGTTTAATGTCCTCTTTAAAATAAACTCTTTTCAAAAATAAAACATCTTTCAAATAATATGTATTCATAAAAGCTCAGACCGATGTGTAGGGAGAACATTACGTAAAGCTGATATAGGCAAAATCATAAAAATTATGAAAAATGGACATGCATATCTTTGTGTTCACAAATAAATGCAGACCAGTTCTTTCATTGAAACAATATTGTTTTTTATTTCATTAATGCCCTGCATGCTGTTTTTGCCTGTGTGTGTGTGTTCGTTTCTCTGTTAGCAAAATGTCTCATTAAACCATTTGATAGATTTTCATAAATATTTCAGAAATTAATCATTAAATGTACATCTAATACTGAATAATGCTTGGAATTGATCCCTTTCAAGATCACTGCCGTATGTGTGTGTGTGTGTGTGTGTGTGTGTGTGTGTGTGTGTGTGTGTGTGTGTGTGTGTGTGTGTGTGTGTGTGTGTGTCTGTGTGTGTGTGTGTCTGTGTGTGTGTGTGTCTGTGTGTGTGTGTGCACTCTGTCTTCTCGATCCCCAATCAGTCGTGGTGTATGGCTGCTTATACTGAGCCAGGATCCTCTGGAGGTTCTTCCTGTTAAAAGTGAGTTTTCCTCTCCACTGTCGCTACATGCTTGCTCAGTGTTGGCTTAATGAACTGACCTGTATTGGAATGTTTATTATGTGAAGTGCCTTGAGACGACTCTTGTCGTGATTTGGCGCTATATAAATAATCTGAATTTAATAGAATTTCCAAAGACAATCAAATTGAGGACATACATAAAATGGCTAGAACTCAGAGTTTTACAGATCCTGAGATCAAATTTCATGTGGAAGTCACTGAAAGTCAATCATAACTCGTGCTGAGTAATAATACATAGAAACGGATTTAGCAAAATCACTGATTTCAACCCAAAAACTTGTGAAGAAGCCTCATCTCGCTACTCTCAAGTAAACCCAAAAGCAAACATGGCGACTTCCTCAACAACAACTTAGGACATCCTGCTAGCTCCACACTTTAGCCCCGCCCTCACGTTTCCTCCGTCTCCACCAACAGAACACCCTGCTGTGAAATGCATGTGTGAATAACAACTGCTGAGAAAATCTGGACTGCACATTCTCTGGGAAAATGTCTGGTACTCATGTGTGAAATTAGTTCTACCAGCATGTGACTAAGTGTGAAATATGGTCACAGTTTTTCCTTCTGATCCTGAATTATGGTGTTGTAGAACGAGAAAGCGCCTTTGCAGAACATCATCGTTTCATGCTTGGACTGATTTCCTTTTTTAAAGCAGATTTCTAAATTTTGACCAAACTGTCTTTTGAACAATAAATCGAAGCAGATGCTGTAAATGTGCTGTCCTCAACAGACATTGCATGCAAACAAATACAGAGGCCACGGAAAAACAGGACTGAACTTTCATTGAGTACAAATGGGTTTACCTCATACTTGTTGGGCGCAACAAAATTGAGCGTTTCGTCTGGATCGTAGAGGACAGAGAAGGCCAACTCCAGCACCTCCTGAGGGCAGCAAACAAGTTCAGCAATACTGCACCCACTCTGAGAGCCCACAGAAAGAAACGACTGATTATGTATGACAATAAAACGAAAAACAAAATGTTACAACCTTGTTTTGTTTTAGAGCACTTTTCTCTTTCATATGAGGGCAGTCCTTCCCTGTCAGCACAGACTTTATATCGGAGATGGGAACTGGTGGGAGAATGGGAGAATAATTAGAGAAATTCAGCTTGTCTGCCTTCTGATGGACAACACGATCACCATACGTGTTCCTAAAATGACATGCTGGCTGAGTGATGAGGACACTTGGAGAAGCGATGTTATCAGTGTGTCTTACTCTTGTCACTCAGCAGCTCAAAAGGCACTTCACCCTGAGGTGACTCATCTAAGTCTCCGTAGTGCAGCACTTTGTGATTAAGGGAGAGCCTGCAGAACCAAAACTTCTCTACAAGAAAAGAAAAATATCTTTAAATGATTAGCAACCAGGTATTTCTGCAGAAAGACAGGCATCGGTACGTACCTTGCCTTCGACGGTTGCCCAGCTTCCGGAAGCAGCTTCCTTCACACAGCCGGTTGAGTCGCTGTTGTTTGATGAGCTCTAATATCTCAGGCTGAATTCTCTCCCGCAGCTCTCTGCAGCAAGTCACAGAATCAGAAAAAAGTGAAAAACACAGATCAACATGTGGACAAACAGTGTGTGCTGTTATATAATGCCGAGAACGAGACAGATGCTGATCAAAGCAGTGAAAAACATCTGAGAAAACCACTCTGTGCATCATTACTGACCAGGTTTAGACCTGATAGACTAAACACTTCAGTTTAAATTTGGATATACATGATAGGTGGGGACTGGAAGTCATCCTGGCTCATTCTTTCCGACTGCCGCAGACGCAGAATCTCTGAGTAGTTGAGTCCGCGCAGTTTATTCTTCAGCTGGTCTATGGATGACGGCTTCATGGCCAGAGCCCTGGTGATCTGCTCACGAACCACCTGCATCACCTGGGTCATCATAACACACACACACAGAAAATGGTAAAGGGCAGGTAAAATAAAACGATTTAATAGCTAAAATAAACTCAACAAACAGCTCAATTTCAAATGTTTTCATTTGATGGCCCGCCCTCGAGTTGGTTTACATAGTATCTTTCTGACAGGGTGGTATGTGTGAGGATGGGTGGTTCATCATCTGCCTTTTCTCCATCTACCTTGGGGGATCCCACAGGGTTCAATACTGGGGCTCCTGCTCTTTTCTCTTTATATTTAGCTACTGGGTGACATCTTGCATAAGTTTAGCATTGGATTCCATCTAGTATACGCAGAGGACTGCCAACTAAATTTACCTCTGCATAAGTCAGGTGAAACGGAATGAAATGACTGTTTCCCCTCTCTTCTGCACAGAACTAGTCTGCATGAGATATGGCCTCAAGGTCTCATGCATTTGCTTCTAACCTGCTTCTTTTCAGCTCAACAGAAGAATGAAGAATGGACTCTCTCCTTTTAATTAATCAAAGAACTCTATTTTAATAAAGCTAATCACGCAAAGTGTTAGTCAATAAATAAGATGTGACCGATCTGTGAAATCAAAATATTAATTACTTTATTATAATCCTATAGAATATAATAAGTAATATGACTTTAAATGCTTCCACTAGGACTGATCTCACGAGGCGTTAAAAGAAATGACACATTGCTTTCACTGATCCAATCAGAATCTGCCAGATCTGATGGAGGTGTGGTTTTGGTGGTGTTTGGTAAATCTGTCATCTGTTCATTCGACCATAAACCAAAACATCCGAAGTATAAAACTATGCCCACGTCATCTCTAACGCCACTTCAAAGCGTTCTAGAGAAGTTGTCGGAGTGGCCAATCCGTAACTCTCCTCTTCAGCCAAAAGAACCAACGACAAGCTGGAAAATTCATTGCTGTAACAACCGCTGCAACGGTTCCTTTCAGAATAAAAGCTGAACCATCAAGACCCAGGTTTGGGTCTCACAGACGCCAACAAAATTGTCGTGACCTGGGAGTATCTCAAGACTGGTGGTCGGCTGTCGTGGCTTCTTCTACAGGTTCCGGCTCCACAAGGTCAAGTTGGACCTTAACACCTCCTGATCTAGACGGGGACTTCCACTCAGGGTATGTGGACTGACAAAATGGCGTTGAATGTGTTTATGGATCTCCTAACCAAAGCTGAACGCGAAGACATCACCTTCAGTTCCCATCAGAACTAATCGCTTCTTTAGATTTGCTGGTTCTGAGCAACATCACACCTCACCCCATTCACCGTCTCATTCACCTTAGTTACACCATACATTAAGTGTTTAGAGTTAGTCTAGTTAAATTTGTTTAGTAATACATTTTTAAACTTTTTAACTTGACTCTCTCTCTTCTGTCGTCTCTGAGTAAATACGAAGCTGTTGTCTAATCCCTGCATTAAAAAGTTCCAATATTCTGGTTTAAAATAACACAGATCCATAAGGTGGATTTCATATTTCCTATGGAATCCTATGACTTATGGCTTATTAAATAAATGTAATTTAAATCATTACACAGGTGATCTCTATTCAAAAGCTTTTGGATTGTTTGGCTGAAGTCAAAGCATGGATGGCTGCAAGAACGTAGTTTTGACTTTAGAAGTGGGGGGACACAACCGGCATGAAGACTGGGGGGTGTATATACAGTAAGTATACAAAAAATGTGTATAAAACTACAGCCTAGAGCAGGGGTCCTCAATTATAATGGTCCGAGGGCCACACACAAAAAGGGTGCTGCTGCTGTTTGGATTGCTAGCTGTATGTTTATGTTTATGTTTATTCATTTATCCAAAGCGACTTACAATTTATGACCTATAGGGCATGTTGTGATCTGTGGGGGACACCAGAGTACCCGGAGGAAACCCACGCATGCATGGGGAGAACACGCAACTCCACGCAGAAAGGCCGCAGCCGAGTTTAGAACCTGCAACCTTCTTGTTGCGAGGCAACAGTGCTAACAACTGTGCCACCATGCAGCTGTAATGCACATTACACACAAGCTTGCAATATAACGCAGGACAACACCTTTCCCCCTCCTGCTCGGCTGTGTGACTGCACTAACCTGTCCTGTGGGACCCTCACCATGTAACCCTCATGTCCATGCTGTCTCTGGAGGAGCAGATAGGAGACGAGATCTCCTGTTACCTAAAATGAACCAAAGCTTCCTCCCACTTTCTCTTTAAGCTGAATTTAACATCAGTTTATCGTCATGAAACAAAAGAATAAAGTGGAACAAGAACTTCTATCTTCTATTTATCTCTCCTTTTAACTTCTCCGTGTCCCTAAATAAAAGAGACAGACGATCACGCTGCAGCCGCCGTCACTCAACCCGCTCTCTCCCCAAGACCGGACCTCCCGACATCACAGCCCTCGGTCTGACTGAGCGCTTCCAGGAGAAACAATAATGAAATTATGAAAATAATAACGCGTGTTTGGAGGAGCGTCCTTCAATCCTCTCTCATGTGTGAGCAGACAATCTCTCTCTCTATCTCTCTCTCTCAGTCGCTGATCGAGCAAGCGGAGCGTGCCGCGCGACAACCCGCTCAGTTAACATAATTTACGGCCCAAATCCAACAGAACCGGTCGGGCTGATTTGATTCAGGTTCGGTCCCAGGTTATAACTCCAGCGCTCAGCCCTGCAGTACCACATAAAGGCAGATCAAAGTTTCCTACCCGGTAAATATGGAGAACACCGCTCTGACAAATGTGGATGCTGCGCTGGTGCCGCCGTTAAAATAACACAACTACATTCCACTATCATTGATTATGGTCTTCCATGATGCAAAATCTTTTATGCCAGCATCTCATGCATTGATTATTTGATCATTTTCCTCAGCTCTATCCTACACCTCCTGGTCGGCCGTCGGGGGTGGGGGGTGCGCGCGGGGTTTGGGGGCCACAAAGAGAGGGCTCGCGGGCCGGACGTGGCCCGCTGGCCGCCATTTGCGGACCACTGGCCTAGAGGCTCTTTAATGTAATGTCAGAAATGCAGAATTGTCGAGTACACAGGTGGCAGGAAAGGGCAATCACACATTAGCAAGCATCAGCAGAGCCAATAGATGAGCTTATGGACCGTTCTAATAGGAAACTGGCTTCAGCACAAGCGGTTGTTTTCCACTTGGTCCTAATGCTCAACTAGTGTTTATTTAATACAGCGTAATACTGTTTTGTACAGTAAAAAGTGCAGGAGACAAAAATTGACTTTGGAAAAAGTGAGGGGGGACATGTCCCCTCTGCCGCCCCCCATAAAAAAAATTACTACAACCATGGATGGCTGAGAACTTCCAGTGTCTTAATGAAAGCAAAACAAAGGCAGTGTTTTCTGGACTGGATGGTCATATTGATGCTTCTGAGGCTGACTTTTTGCTTTGAAGCTCATGGTAAATGGTGTGGTGTCTTCGTCTTTTTATAGTTTAAGACGCTTGGCTAAGGTAAAGCTATTCTTGTCTAGCCTGGATCTCTAATTTCCCTCTGGGATTAATAAAGTATTTTTGAATTGAACTGAACTGAAACTGATGTTCATGTCTTTATAACTTCCTGCACAGATTATTGCAACTCTGTCTTATTTGGTGCGAGTCAGAGCAGTCTAGCTCACTTGCAGCTGGTTCAGAATGTTGGAGCGAGATTCTTGGAGGGCAAGCAAAAATGTGAACATGTTTCACGAATTTTGGTTACTTTATATTTGTTGCTTGTCACTTTTAGAACATGTTTAAAAGTGAGTTAATTGGTGTTAAAACCCCTAAATGGGTTGGCTCCGGCCTATTTGACTGACATGATGCAGCCATATGTTCCGGCTCGGATGTTCCGCTCTGAACACCAGATGCTGCTTTTGGCTTCCAGGACTGATGAAGACGAGGAAGGGTTGGGCATTCTTGGTGGTGGTTCCCTTATGGACTATAGAGCGAGCTTCCATTATCCATTCAGCATTCTTCATTTGAGGCTGAAAACCTATTTCTATGATCTGGTTTTTAACTCTGTAGGTTAGCTGTTGCCATTATATGATTTTACCTATTAATCTGTACTTCTTTGTTGGTTTTATCTGTTTTTATTCTCATTCCTGTACAGTAATCTGGTGGTAAACGTCATATCTGTAATGTGCTACAGCAGGCATGGGGAACCCTGGTCCTCGAGGGCCGGTATCCTGCATGTCTACCTGTTCTGCAGCTCATCAGCTCTGCAGAAGCCTGTTAATCACCTGCTGATTGAAATCAGGTGTGATGATGCAGGGTTGAAAATATAATATGCTGAATGGACCAGGGTTCCCCACCCCTTTACAGCAATAAAGGTTGAGTCGAGTTGAGTTGAAAGCTAAAATATTCAAAGTCTGGTGTATTAGTGATAATCGTGCATTATTTAACAAACCAAAACTTTTTTTTTTTTTTGCCTTTCTGCTTCATTGGGCTGTTCCATAACAAACAGCAGAACAGCAGTACATGTCTGTATGAAGCCAGACAGTTCTCATTCTCATGCAGAACCAACAACATCTGGAGAGATGATGGTTAATGATGACTGTTTTCTGTAAACACACACACACACACACACACACACACACACACACACACACACACACACACACACACACACACACACACACACATCATAACTGGACCAGAAGGTGCCAATCTCTGTTTGATTTTAGAGCTGCTGCACACTAAATACAACAAATACAGTTTAATAGTCGCCTAACAGCAAACATTTGAGCACACTGTGATCATTTTGCACAAATGTTGGGGTTATATAAAAACAGCTTGCAGACACAAACAACTGTATGTTCATTACTATTTGTTAAATAGCTGCATTTAGCTGATAATCTATTGGCATTAACATCATGGATTTGTTGTTTTGAAGCAAAAACAGCAGCACATCCCCCATGGGCATACTTTGGTTTAAAGCCAAATAAATAAATAAAAAATTGTCTGATAATGAGGTGGATGCCGTTTCAAGACCTTGGCTCAGAAAGATGCAAATTTCAACAGAGGGAAAGCAACGTTTGCATAAAACAAACACACTTGTTTTTATTTTCCACCAGTTAAGTTTGAGATTTCTTCCTAACAGCAAAACTAAAGCTAACATGTGAATAGTAAATGGAAAGACTGAGACCTTATTGAAGTCCTCAGCAGTAGCTCTCATCTCCTTCCAGGTTTTATTGAGCAGCTGAATGCAGACGCAGAAGAACTCCTCCCAGGCTCGGTCATGGGTGAAGAACATGGGGTGGTAATCGTTACAACCCTCATTTGCTAAAAATATTTAACAGAAAGTATCTTAATTGTGAAAACTATGGTTTGACCATATGCTGCAGTGAAACTAGAAACCAGACAAACACACATAGACCATCTAATTTGTCTGTAGTTGACGTTAATGTTTGCACCTGTCGTGTGGAAATAGGACAACGTGAGGTGAAGGTGGAGGCTGATATTTATGTGGGACATCCTGGTTCTTCTGCAATAAAGTTTCCTTGAAATTTATGAGGTTTACTAATATTTATTTGTTTATTTTGTGAAATGTGCCCAGTAATCTGGAGGTAACTGATGTTAGGATTGACAGAAATGCTTTTCAGTTACAATTTATTAAGTTATAACTAAATTGACAAAAAACCTAAAAGAGACAAAAACAATGAAATTCATTAAAGCTGGAGTCTGTAGTGTGATGTCATTGAAGAGAGGAGATTTAGAAATCTGAATGCTATAGCTCCGCCCCTGCTCCTCCTCCCCTTCTGGAAAGAGCTGAAAGCCACGCCTCCTACCGTACATGGTCACGCAAGTAGCCTTTTAGCGCTAATGGACACGTTATGTTTTCAATATGTTCCTGCTCAGACACACCTAATTCTAACTGCTGAATTAGCCCCTCAGCCTTCTACGAGTTCTGCAGCTAATCACTCGCTGTTAACGAATCTGCAGAGTTCAAGCAGAGAAGCATCTAAAACCGGCAGGGATCAGACAACCCTGCTAATGCTACAACAGTAGCGTAAAGGTGAACGCTATGCTAATTGTGTAGCTCCAATACACAAAAGATAAATCCCTTTTTGTTCCCCTCCCCCCTCTTCCACAGTCAGCTTGAAGTTTACAGACTGACATTAATTTAATGCAGGTTGAGTTAGCATTTAAGCTAGGTTGGTGTGCTAAGCTGACTGGGGCATGCGGAGCACGCTGGGGACTGGGACAAATTCTCTTTCACTGACAGCTCCCTCTTGGGCTCCTTTTGCTGTAGAGGCAAGGGGAGAGACTTTGGGGAAATAAAGATTACTTTATACCACAGAACAGGGTCAGATAGCTAGTACATTTTCTAACTAAGCTAACTAATCTTTTTAAACAAGGTATTTACTCGCACGCTAATATAAGCACACATCTTCTCTCAAAGTTAAACTTTTTCAACATCATACTTCATTGAGATAAACATCAGCATAACATATACAAATCCCCTTACGTAGTTCTCCGACTTGAAGTATTTCACATAACATTCGAGTGAGCTCGATGGCGCAGCGACCAAACGGACATTCATGTTTATCCTCCCGGCTACTGTTCTCCAGCACGATCTGAAACAAGAAAAGAAATTTTGTTAAGGTCCATCTGATGATTTTTAAATTCTGTAACGACCATCACTAACCCTGATGTAAGTATCCTGATGCACTCTAGCCAGATACAACATGTTATCCAAGGCCAGCATCCCAGGAGGAGTCTGGGTAAAGTCCATGGCTGGGTTCACGTGGTTCTGAGTTAGAAGTCAGCACATTAGCCCAATATTTCTTTTTGAAACTAGCAAGGTGCAGCATTTAACAACTACATTGTGAAAGTGAAATCTGTTGCTCACAGTGAATCCTAGCATCTTGTAGTCCTTGGTGTACATGGCTTTCCTCTTCTCCGTACCGGTGGGATCGCTTTCTCCATCAAAGGCGATCCGACGAAGCTCAAAAATGATGTCTCTCTGAGACTGTAAATGAAAACCAATTCAACAGCTTACCAGCACGAAGAGTAAAACATTTAACATGATAGCAGTGAAATAATAAAGGAGGCTATAAAACAGATGGGTCAATCAGTAATGAGCAGATGGCTTTCAACTGGCAAAAACAGCAAAATCTTAATTTTCTGCTCGGCTTGTTACCATCAAAGCAGATCCATCAGAAAGTCATCTCCCCTGGTAGGAGGTTATCTCTATTAAACTCTCACAGCATGCAGACTATTACCATTCAATTAAACATTTTATTCATTTAAACATACCTCGGAGGATTGCTCACAGGGTGTTTTACTTTCAGTTCATTTGTTTACGCGCATTTAGAGGCAACTGGAATTCGTTGTAACGGGACTTTGTGTCATTATGGGTACAAAGACGTCTTGACTTCAGATTGTACCTGATCATTAGGGTCCATTTTGGTCATCATTCTTTCCTCCAAGAGGTTAAAGGTCAGGACCTGCAGCACATACAGCTGATGTGCCATTTCAGCTTTGATTGGTCGATTCCCTCTGATGACATGCTGGAACAGAACCAACTGTGATCATCTTCTATGCTGACACAGTTTGAAGGATACAGCTAAAAGGATGCCACATGAGACTATGCAAAACAGAAAAGCATTTTAAAATAAAAAGCCTCATTTCATTCCATCTTCATTAGAATCCCACACACAACTGTTTGCTGCAAAGATTAGATACAACAAAAGAAAACACTGTTTATTAAAGCGAAAATGAAAACTGCAGATAAGTGAGCTGCTATGGTAACCTGGTCTCATTAAAAAGTGCTTCAAATTTCAGGGATTTGTTCTGAGAAAGCAAACAGAACAGGAACCGCTCCAGGACACTGGAATGCAGCGTTCTCCTCGCTAACGTTTGCAGCCAGTTTAGGCGAGCGTTTCTTGACAAACGCCAAAAGGAATCTTTTTTCTGAGCAGATTTTGGGCTTGGTGTCATATCACATTTACCGGTTTTGTGTCACAGCCCTCTGAGTCAGAAAAGCTTCCTATTTATTACAAATTCTGACCAACTTTTATTTCCAGGGATGAAGCTGCGGGCTCGACAGTCACACAATCTCTCAAGCAGAAGACCAAAAATTAGTTTTAGGTAAAGGCTGTTTATTTTAAATATCAACAAAATATCCAAGAACACAGAATTAATAAAGCTTTACTAAAAAGCGACAGACACTGACTCACTGAGAATGCATTGTGCCTGGTTTTTGCTTCTTGTTTTACGCATCATTGGCGCCTGCTATCTGCTCTGCCTCAGCAGCAAAGCAACAGTGTTAATGAGGAGCGCACCACTGAAATTCAGCTGGTCTGAGCTATTGTTTTCTTTCTATCTGATCACAATTGTCCTTGCTGGGAAATCTAAATATGGACTCCTTGCACCAAAATAGCAGGAATAAAAATGCCAAAAAGCCTGATTTCAGGGTCTTAACAGATAAAGCAGGGGTCACCAACCTTTGTGAAGCTGAGGGTTAGTTAACGGGTACTGAGCCATACAGAGGGCTACCAGGATTTTACAATACTGACCTTTGACCTTGAATATATCAGAGTTAAACTAAAGTTCATGTTTAATAAAGCTATTTATTGTTTTAGAGAATACTACAGTTACTGCAGTCATCATCACACACTGACGAAATTCATCTCCACATTTGACACATCCCTGTGGAGAGCAGTGAGCTGCAGCTGTGGCTGCACTCAGGAAGTATTTGGTGGTTTAACCCCCCAATCCAACACCTTAAAGCTGCCAAGCAGGGAGGCGTTGGGCCCCATTTTTAAAGTCTTTGGTATGACCCGACTGGGATTTGAACCCGGAACTCCCAGTCAAAGGGCGGACATTCCAACACTAGGCCACTGAGAAGAATAAATCAAAATATATATTAAAGGAATAACGGAGGATCTTTTTCTTCTGGGTGGATCATCTGAACCATTGGTCCGCATAACTGTCAATCATTCTGGTGAACCATTCATTCCTTTTGCTGTAGAGGCCAGGGGAGGGACCAGGCACCATGGTACACGCAGACACCAGGTTGGTAACCTCTGGGATAAGGAACTTTGATACTCCAAAATCATTCATCTTTTCAACACATTTGCAATGGTCACTTGTATAAATGAATGGTCTTTGTGGGAAAAAAGTTCTCACACTACTGTTTCAGAAAGTAACTGCATGCGCCGTGTCAGACTCCTCGCTTTCTTCTCTCTCCTCCCTGGGCTGGCTATCTGTAAGTGTTAAGTGCACGGAGCGCCTCATGGACGAGAATGCATCCTCTTGTGCAAGATGTGCCCCCCCATGGATCACAGGGCCCTACGCACATGATCTGCCTGTTGGGAGGGGTGGAGCTGTACACCCTATTTAAACATGGGTAAAATTCACTAACACACACACAGTTGCTGCTTGGAGGGCAGCACAGAAACAAATGGGGCAAATGTATCTCAGTAATGCCTCTGAAAATTGGAAGGAGGTGTGAAACCCTAATGTGCACATGCAAAGACGCACAATCTCCCGGTGAACTTGAGTCCGAGTGCAGCTCCAATATTGTCATTCCTGCAACTTAAACTTGATACTTACATTTAGGATGATGGACCGCAGGTGTTTTTGAGCCAAAGTGCTCGCCATTTCCTAAAGATGCACACAAGTCAAAATCAAACAAGAGTTGATGCTGACATCAAATGAGCTTTTTTATCCCCTAAAGCTACATTTTCATCACTGGTTTGAACCATTAAGCCTTCAAACATTCTGCAAAAAAGCACATTCAACTTGATTCAGTCAGCACAGTCTGTATGCCGCTGCAACAAGCTGCGCTTCTGTCCTAATTTGAATGGATTATGCAACAATCGGCCACGACACAAGTAAGAACTACAGAGTGAAGAAGGAGAAGTGCTGTGGGGCGGTATGAGCTGCTGAGAGATGCGTACACTAAGTGAGGTGCTGCAAAGTGCGCACAAGAAACATGAGATCCAGACACACAGCGTGCACAGAGGTGATTCATGTCAAATAGGAACATCAAGCAGTCACGATGTAGCGGTTCATGCTGATAGCAGCTGCACAAATATTCATTTCTTCAACTGAAACATAAAAGTTGTCCAACTGAATCAAACCCTAAACGGCTGATTTTCCACCTGTTTTCATCTTATCAATGACTCATCTAGAGGGGGCAAAACAAAACTGATATTTTAAAGAGAGTCTTCAGATTGTTTTTACGAAACGAGGTGTTTTATGTTCATGACGACAGTCTTTCATCTGTGGGATCAGATATTTCCTTTGCTTTGTCTCATTAAAACTGACTCAGTTCGCCCTCTAGTGGCCCATAACAGCAGCTGAACAAGGACGTCAAACCTGGTTCTACAGCAACACACTGCACTCTTTTATAATTTAATTGGCTTAAATTCAGCATAACCTGATGATTAGCAGCAAGCTCAGTGCAGAGTTGGTTATTTTTTGGTATCTTATTGTTAAAAAATATCAAATTTTTGTTTACTTTTACATGTATTACCATCTTTATCTGATCCACTGATGCTCAGGTAAAGTGCAGAGTCAATATCAGGTCATTTATATGAAATTTCATCTGATTAAAGCTGTATTTACTGATGGTTTGGTATTTTTTATATTAGAATAAAACCATAATTACTACAACAATAGTTTAAAGTGTTTTATATCAGTTTAACTGCTCCTTTTCATTATTAACTTACAGTTTACTATAGAAACTGAATATAAAAATGGCAGAAACAGAAGCTCTCCTTCATTACTTGTATATATATGCTAAAAATATATTAGATTCAGTTAATTTTGGTTAAATATCAAACACAATGATTATTTTCATTCATTTTGAATGTTTGTGAAAATTCCTTCATGCATTATTTATCTATTTCTACAGACGAGAGAACGTGGTAAGGACACTGAAGAAAAAGAAATCTGTTTTTCATACACATAATAAAAGCGGGTATGCAATCACCCTGGATCAGAAAGGTTTAAATATTGCATTTAGAATGTAGGGTGTTACTAAACTGATGTCATTTAACTCATCTTCCTTTTGTTGTTGAGTGACAACTGTCTATGTTTAGGGATGTTTAAGACCCACCAGTTTTCCAGTAGCACAAAAAGGTGTTTTCTTGTGTGCATCAACAAGCGTTTATACTTAGTTTTTCCTTATTTGTCCCTTAAGGGGTTTACTAAATGTTTGCTTATTCAGCTAAAGGGAGTTTTAAGAACTATTCCATATCAGTCTGAAATGGGTAAAATCCCACAGACAGCTAAAACCATAACTGTGAATTTGACAAAGCTGTAATTAAACATAAGCTGATTTATGGAGGAACCATAACACGAACGCCTGCAGACAGACATTAGCTGTAACTGCTGTAAAAATTAGCAGCCATTCAGAGTTTGCAGTAGTGTTGTTTAGAGTGTCATATGAGGACGAAGCATTAGTATTCCTGTTAGTGGTCTGTTAGGTCTGTGCTGCGAGTGCAGCTCACTGACCTGCCGTCTGTCCTCTGGGGCCTTCAGGAAAAGAGCATTGATGAGAGCGATGGCGTATGTCTGGATTTCCTGATTTGACCTGAGGAAATATCCAGCAGTGCAACAACCAGTTAGAAGCACCATGCTCTAAAAAGTACATGCATTCATTTAAACTACAGCTAACAGCTATTCTACACTCAGTGAGTCCACAACTTATTTAGGCTTCCTCACCACTGATGCAAATTCAGGGATGATTGGAGGATTTTGAAAACCTTATTTTTTTTTATACCATAAAAAGAACAAAACCAGCATGTAATCAGTTTGGGATTATTTACTAAGTAACACGATTTATAATTTACCACACAGGTTCCAATGGCTGTTTAGCTACAGTGTAATCAGGCTGGAGCTCACTACCATAATGACCTTCTGTAGATCAAAACTTTATAAGGTCAACGTCTGCATGTAGGCACTTCCGCTCTCATCATGAATCATGTTTGTTCGCCTTTTCATGCACACTTAGAATTACGGGATTTCACCCAACCAGTCGTCAGAGATCAAGCTAGTCATGTTAGTGCCATGGCGCCCTTCCACCAATCAGCGTGGGGCAATGATGCTCAGGCCAAATATGGCGTGTCTGCAGAAGCAGAAAACTGCTCGGTCTCCTCTCGTGTTTATGGTCAGATCTCCAAAACTAACAGTGCTAGGTTTATGAAACTCTCATCACAAAGCTGCCATGTTTGATCCTACACTCTGAACAGTTAAAAGAAACAATGTATATTTTTAAGTAAAATTGTTTGTTTTTAAGACATAATCTGCATACCGTAATCCCAGTAACAGTAACAACAACTGTTAAAATATGAATATATTTTGCTGGTTTAAATTAAGATTTCTATGGAAAATGGAGGACTGTTAATGTGCCAACCAATCTCACCAACAGTGATGATGAAGAGGAGGAAGATGACACTGAGGCAGCTCCTCAAATATTCAAAAATGTTCTAATAATATATATTTGATTAGAAATGGTATATATTGTTCAATAACATTTCTATTATATTCTACAGTAATCTTTTTCATAATAATAAACTATTTTGTTTAATAATCATGTTATATTTATTATTCTACAATGATATGTTTTAAAATTTGCGAGATTATTCTAAGTGTCTTATCTATATTATTTAAAAATAGTGTTTATTTAACTTTTTCATAGTTTTTTTTCCATGTCCATATTTGACCACTTCCTTTCTCTGATTTTCTGCATGAAAATTAATATTTTAGAAAATTGTAAAAGCAGAAGAATAATCATGTTATACACCATAGTAACACACAGGGGTTGAAATTTTAAACTACTTCAATGAGTGTTGTGATGGTGTGAATTTTTGCCTTAAACATGGTTATTTAGATTAGAAATGGTAGTTTAAACATGAAATAGTGGTAGGAATGTATTTTTAACATTGTTGGTTTTGGTCATTTTATGGCATTTCTACACAAAATGAAATCTGGTGACATTTTTGCATCTTTAAATCATTAAAAACCCAAACATCACAGCAAAAACAGCACTTTTATTTCTAAACAACATTTTCTCCACCTCCTCCTTTTATCAGAGTGCACGGGGCCCCTGTGCGTGTGTGTGCTCACACTTGCAGGTGCCCGATGAGCTGTCCCACGGTGCTCTCCTGGGCCACGCGGTGGTACAGGCTGTGGCTGTTCAGCACCATGCTCTCCAGGATGGCGAGAGAGCGCTGCAGGATGGACACGTCCACCATGGGCTGGTTCACGTAGCCTGCAATCTGAGCAGAGAGAAACTGAAGCAACGGTCCTGTTGAGCAGGAAGTGTTTGTGTAACGCCAGAACATGGACGCAATGTTTGAAATTTAAAAAGATAAGGAATCTGGTTGCATAACAAAAAGTGTAGGAATCAAGAGTTTGTAAAGTTTTTTGTTTTTTTTTTTTTTGTAGAGAGATTGTCAAGGTTGCTGAGAAGTTTATGGAGGAAAACTTTTCAGAAGGAGCTACAGGATGTAGCGTTACTAGGCAACATCACCCACACATCTCCGGCATTAGAGATGAAAGGAAGGTCAAACAATTAAACCCAAGAACACAGAGAAGAGGAAAAAAGCATGAGTTTCTAAACAGAAGCTACATGTAGAGAGGAGGTTAAGTAAAATGTGTGGCTCTCTGTTTCTAGAGGAAGTACCTGTTTGATAAAGGAGAGGGAGATAAGATCCCATGACACAATGCCGTGATCCATCAGCTCCAGGAAAGCGGTGAGCGTGAAGGCCAGCATTTCCCCAAAACTCAAGGAGAGAAAGTTTAGACTCTATTAAAGTTTTAAACATTTTCTAACACACACACCAGCTCACAACAGAGTATCAAAAACCTACAGCTAAAAAAGGACACGAACAGGCCCATGAGCAAATACTTACTGGGTGCCACTTTCTACAAGGCGAGCCAGAGTCCCAATGCCCTCCATGTTTATGAACTCTGTGGCAAAGGTCGGGTCTGCGGACAACTTGGCGAGCTCTTTTAGAGCCTCAAGGCGAGCATCAATCCCATGAGACTGGATCCTCTCCAGCAGCTGACGAGCAGCACGAGCCTGACAAAGACCAAAAATCCTCACCATGCATAGTTATCTTCCATGGTTCCTCACTGTTTTAGCGTATTATTAATTTTAAAAACAGTGTTATAATTTATAGGGAATATTTTTTACATAATCTGAAAATGTGAGATCTTGTTTTTTTGGCAGCATCTAGAGCTGCACCATATCAGGAAAACAGTAGTTTACATAACGCTGAATATCGCAGTAACAATAACATATTTACCTCTCTCATTATCACGATGTTCATGACAATTTCCACGTGCTTGATGAGGTTAATACCTCTCACTGAGTCAAATTAACCCTCCCACTGTCTTCATGGGTGACCCCGTGAGGAAAGTTGACCATTGAGCAGGGCTGATGGTTTATCTCTTGGGTCCACGTGACAGGGGTGAGAAGTGAGCACCACCTCACCCCTGCCACATGAACCCAAGGGATAAACCATCAGCCCTGCTCAATGGTCAACTTTCCTCACGGGGTCACCCATGAAGACAGTGGGAGGGTTGAAGCATTTTTCAAGCATTTTCCAAAGGAGCTTTCAAGATTTTGCAGTGATGATGATTTACACACATAAACCGATCTAACATTATATTTCCTTGTTTTATTTTAAAGCATAGTATTGTGTTTTAAAGAACGCAGATTTATTTATTTTTTATCTTTTAAATTACGTTTTATTACCCTTTTTTTTAATAACTAACAATTTAGAACGTGTGGCTGCAACAAAAAAAATGACCCATTGGTCTGTTTATATCAGTGTTTAAAGTTGTAATGGCTAATCTACAAAATAAGCTAGCTTTTAAACACAAATGCGGTGACAGAACTCCTCAACCCTCCCGTCGGCTATCATCGCTCTGCCAGGCCTCCCTGAAACCGGAACGTGCACTCCCACGGTAAACAAGAGAGCGCTAAACACCGGGGATCGGACTAAAACTGCTACTTCTTCTGCAGCAGATCACTCTTGCACATGAAAGGTGGTTCTGTTCTACTTTACCCCTTTGTGACATCACAGACAGGGACTTTTTGAAATGGCTTGTTTTAGGCACATAATTGTTTATATTTCACAACATTTTTCAGTCTAACTTTTTGGGGTGGCCAGCCTTTGTGTGTGTGTGTGTGTGTGTGTGTGTGTGTGTGTGTGTGTGTGTGTGTGTGTGTGTGTGTGTGTGTGTGTGTGCGTGTGCGTGTGCGTGTGTGTGTGTGTGTGTGTGTGTGTGTGTGTGTGAGTGTGAGTGTGATCGGGGGGGGGGGGGCTGTGCCCCCTTAGGCTCCCCCTTTGGACACACCCCTGACACTAACAGAAACCCAGATGAACAGGTTTTTTCTCATTTGGAGTGTTTATAGAGGCATCAGAACCCATAACGTAGCAAAAAAAATATATGCAACTAGTGAGCTTTACATAATATGTCCCTGTTAGGCATTTCATTCAAACTTCAAGCATTTAAAAAACCTTGAAAGTACCACTTTCCCCCTATGATCTTAGTCTGAGCATTCTGAGAAGTAAAGGCACATCTGATTGGCCAAAAAAGCAGCTTGCAGCTGCAATTTATTGCAATTCTTTCCCACATGACTTGTTGAATCGCAACATCAGTAAGGTTTTGATATATTGTGCAGCTCTAGCACCATATGGCTGTTTCTGAAATACATGTACTCTATATTGAATTATATGTACTGTATTTTAGCACATTTTAAATTGCATATCTGGTTTAAATCTGATAAGTGAAGAAAAACAACACAATCCTCAGCCCAGTGTATCCAGTACAATCTCAGAAGGGTGGAATTTTTAAAAAGCAGATTATCATTAATTATTAGTGAGCTAAAGGATGGGTCACTAAACACGACAGATCACATCCACTCCTCTTAACCTTTAAAAAGCAGTGATGTAGTTTTGCTAATCAGAGCAGCAAGAAATATATGAGCTATAAGCCGATTCAATATTTCCAAATGCATAAAAAGGTCAGACTGTAGATGGGTGCGAAATCGTTATGGTAACAAGAATCCATACATCTTTAAAACTGGTTGTTTATTTGTAAAAAATAAATAAATAAAAAAAACTTGTTTACAAGAGTCAGAATATGTAAATAAAGCTGACTTACGGGGGAAATTGCTAATCGAAGGATGGTCCCATTTTTAATGTCACAGCGGCTCTGAAACATAATGAAGAAGTGGTGTTTGTATTCATAATGATTTTACAATCTGTTTATTAGGAGATGATAAACAAAACAAAGAATCAAACCTGCTCGGTGATATAAAGCTGTGGACCGTCAGCGTAACGCAGGGCAAACTGCTCGGAGCCTGACAGAGACCAGCTGAGGACACAAACAGCACACTGATTCAAAACAAGTAATTGCCAGGAACAAAATGTGGGAATGTTACAGCGCAGCGCACTCCAGCGTGCACGAACAAAAGGTTGCTCGAGTCAGGCCGTTGCTTCCAGCAGAAATCTGTTTGCACGAGTGATAAGCTGTGCAAATGTGAGGAAGAGTTATTCAGTGGGTGGTTGCAACAAAGCACAAAAAACCCAAATATTCAGCTTCAGATTTTACAGAGCGAGGCAGTGGGTAGATGCAGCCTGCTAAAGATGTGGACGGGTGAGATCAAATGTGCAAACCTCCACACTAAAGTGCATGAATGTCAAGGCAAAACGACAACTTCAAAACCTAAAATCACAGCTGAAAACCTTAGGATGGATTATATAAGGCGCTATATGGACCTTATACATGTGTTGGAGATGGGTATGAGAATTCTCCTTAGCTCTAGTTGAACTGGCAGCTATAATGTACAGAGCAAACTCATGCAATGAGAATGAGAAGTGACTCGTGGATCTCATGCATATACATAAGCCGGCTCGTTGCAGCAGTCCACCATTAAAAATGGCACCCGCAGATCAACGAAGTGCAATTACACCGAAGCAGAAATTGAGGTACTTGTGGGTGAGGTGGAAAAAATGAAAGGAAATACGTTTTGGATGTCACAGCAGTGGCATAACAAATAAGAGAAAATCCACAGAGTGGCACAGCGTTGCTGAAGCCATCAATGCAGTGAGTTCTTCAGAGAGAAAAAATGGTCCAATCTGAAGGTGGAGGCAAAATTAAAGATGTTTTGCCACCGTCAGAGTGTGTTTGCCACTGGCGAAGGCCCTAGCACCTCTGATCCCCCACCGCTCGCCGTTAGGATCTCAGCAGCACTCAGACCGGCAAGCGTGTGAGGGATTGTGCCAGAGAAAGAGGGAGACACTGACCAAGCAACTGTTCTCGTGGTGAAGAGAGGCCTGAGCCGGGAGACAAAGCTCTTGATTCACCATTTGATCTACGTTCCCACCCTCATCAATGGTCACCAGACCGAAAGAACAAGATTGCGGATACAAGCGGCCGAAATGAGATTTCTCTGCAGGGTGTCTGGACTCTCCTTTAGAGATAGGGTGAGAAGCTCAGTCATATGGGAGGGGCTCGGATTAGACCCGCTGCTTCTCTACACCAAGAGGAACCAGTTGAGATAGCTTAGGCATCTGGTTATGATGCCTCTTGGATGCCTCCCTGATAAGGTTTTCCTTGCATGTCCAACTGGGACGAGACCCAAGGGAAGACCCAAGACACACTGGAGGGACTGTGTCTCTCAGCTGGCCAGAGAACCCCTTGGGATTCCCCCAGAGGAGCTGGGGAGAGGGAAGCCTAGGCCTCTCTACTTAGGCTGCTGCCCCCTTGACTCAACTCCAGAGAAGCAGCTGAAGATGGATGGCTGGAGTCCAGAAGTTAAAATGTGATGATGACTATTACATTTATTTAACAATGTGGAATTCTGAATAGGGTTGCACAGTTGTGCAGTGGTTAGCGTTGTTGCCTTGCAGCAAGAAGTTCCTGGGTTTGCATCCCAGCCTGGCGTCTTCCTACATGGAGTTTGCATGTTCTTCCTGTGCATGCATGCGTTCTCTCCGGGTACTTCGGCTTCCTCCCACGGTCCAAGAGATCGACTGTCAGGTCAATTGGTCTGTCTAAATTATCCTTGGGTGTGAATGTGTGTGTGCATGGTAATTTGTCCTGTGTGTCTCTGGGTTGCCTTGCGATGGACTGCCAATCTGTCCAGGGTGTACCCCACCTGTTTGCCCGTTGACAGCTGGAGATAGGCACCAGCCCCCCTGCATGGACAAGCGGGTTCAGAAAATGGATGGATGGATGGATGGATGGACGTACGTGCAGACGGACAGACGGACGGATGGATGGATGGTTGGGTAGATAGATGGTAATAGTGGATGTAAATGTTAAAATATGATAACTATTAAATGTATTTAGCATTGTAGAATTCTGAATAACATCCTCAGATATGGCCCTTGGTTTCAACACCTGAAAGGCCCGCTGAGAATGATCGGAGCTCTGTGCGTCTCTGAGCATGTTGAAGGGTTTATTGAAGGGTTGGTTAGGATAAACAAGTGGATTTGATTTTTATGTTAGAATTAGGCTTTCCAGTAGATTGACACAAACAAGCCAACTGACCAAATACTTGATCTGTCTGAATTGGTTCAGTACTGGTTTTTAATGCCTGTCATACTGGTGGCACTTACCCATCACACACCTCCCGAATAATAGAGGACAAAGGTCTCTTCTGTAAAAGTAAAAAAACACAAAGAAACACAAATTAAAAGGTGGGGATAATCCTTTAACGCAGCTTTTAGTGGCCATCAGAGAATCCTATTGGTGTCTAACTGGAAGTGAAACTAATATTTCAGATGAACACACACCTGGTCCATCTCTATGAGCTGAGCGTTGGCACCGGGCCATTCTATGGCAACCTTCACAATGTCAGCTGGGGGGGGCATGGCTGCCTTATCGCTAACAACCTACAGGAGAAGAGAAAAGAAAACCTCTGTTGAATTTAATCAACAGAGATTTTTAGAGACATTAGTAACTAGTATGGTTTTATTGGCACACTGTATAAGCAGCTATAAAGATGGAGATAAACCGATTCACTCGGCCAGTACAGATAGTCAGCTAAATCGTTTTAGTAGCTGAGAGTCATTCTCATCATATGATCTAAGTGTTAAATAAATGATATTTGTTTAACTGTAAGATCAGTAGTTACCACTGTCTGTAAAATAAGATCTGGCAGCGTTAAAGTAAACTGCATAATTATATTTTTAAGATGTAATTCAAACCTTTCTCAACATAAGACACTCTAACTTTGAAGATATTAAAGGCAGCTTGTGAAATGCAGTCCTTCAAGGAATGTAAGGCTTCTAACTGTAATTATGTATTCATCATCTGTCACGCTGAGAGCAAGGAGGTGGTTAGGACCCAAGATGCAGATGCCCCAGATGACACGAGGCAGGAGCGTTTTAAAAGTAAATCCTTTTATTAGGATGATGAACAAAAACCCAAAAAGGGCAGGAAGCCAAAAACCAAAGTCCTGAACAACAGGAGAACAAAAGCTCACAGAGCACAAAACCTAGAGACGAGAAGCAAAAGCTCACATAGAGCACAAAACAACGCTGACTACAACAATGAACCGACAAGACAATGAGGCCCTGTCCACACGTAGCCGGGGATCTGCCAAAACGTAGATATTTTTCAACGTTTTGGCCTGTCATCCACACGAAAACTGAGTTTTTTCATACAAAAACTGATCTTTTTAAAAACTCCGGCCAAAGTGAAGATCTGCATTTTCTCCATTTTGGGTGTCTGCGTGTGGACAGACAAAACCGGAGTTTTAAGGTCCGCAACGTCACTTTCCGCGTCAAAAAATGCTGACATCACGTGTGCGACCTGTGTTTACACTAGCCAACAGCATGGATGCCCTCAGAGCTGCGCTCGCTTTATCAATTGTCCAAGCGCTTTTTGCTTGTTTGTTTTTGCAAGTGGAATTACTGCTCCTTGCAGAAGACCACAGATGAAGGACGAGGTTAAGAACGGGGGAAGTACTGCCGCCTACAGGTCTGGCAAGTCCTTAACAACGGATTTATCTGGGTACGTGTGGACAGAGTTTCTTTTTAAAACGAGGTGGTGTGGATGCAAGTTTCTGGAGGGGCGGATATTCATTTAAAAAAAACGGCTACGTGTGGACTAGACTTGAGACACAGACAGGGCTTAAATACACTGGGCATGATGGGAAGCAGATAGGCTGCAGGTGTGTGGGGAGAGGATCCAAGTGAAAGCAATTAACTAATCAGGGAGGAAACTAACATGACGTAAGAGTAAAAAACCTAAAGACAAGATGAGCACGCAAAATTAACCAATATTCTAGGTGGAAGGGAAACTACAAAAACCTGTGGGAAAACATACTAAAGAGACTAATAAAATGAGAAGCTGAGCCTATAAAAAACTGCAGAGGGGTGACTGGGGAAGATTGAAGGAACACAGGACCTGGGAGGGATAATCTAGAGGGCTGCAAAACAGGAGACACCTGAGGAACACAAAGAGACACATAAAGAGATGCAGACAAGGACACATGAAGGCGCTAGAAGACACAAAAGGAGAACCTAGAGAGGGATGGAGAACACAAGGAGACACATGAGGGGAGACGCAGACACAGACCATGACATCATCATGCAGCATATTTATAGCATTTCAGGTTTTATAACCATAAAACTATACAAAGTCACATTCTTAGGAACATTTCTTGTCTATTTTTCCAAACCTTACATATAACACTCATGGTCTCTGCCTTGGCTTAACTGTTTATTTCACAATTGGCAACAACAGGTTTGTAATTCAAAGGGAAAACGAACAGCAGGGACAGGTTTTTGAGTTTTTGGCATCAGGAGGATATTTCCCTCTGTTCAGAGAGTGAAAGAGCACAGAAACATGGCTGACAAGCACGGATGATGATTTGAAAGCTGGGTTTTGATAGAACCAAACAAAAAAGAGATGAGGACACGGCTGTTCTCCAAATGGTACTTTGGAATCTGGTTGTGTTCGAGATAAAAATAAAAATGAATCAAACACTTTGTACAGCCTCTTATTTCAGAGAAAGCTTTTTCATCACCTTACTGCTGCATGTAAGAAAACCCTAAACGTACAACAGCCTTCCCTCGATAATCATTAGTGTTGCAGAATTTTGAACACCGCACCAAAAGCTTTCAATTTGAATGTTTGTTCTATAAATAGTTCACCTGCCAGTTTATCAATAAACGGCTGTGGTGTCTGACAGTATTACCCTTGGATTAGGTGAGAAATAAAGAAAACTTTGCCATCTGATTTATTCTTCCGAGAATGCAACATCAGTTGACAGCGCATCATTAGCAGCTCCACGTGGTATAAACATCTCAGAAAACTTGAAATAAAACCCCAAGCCGTCATACTATGAATAATAAACGCAGCTGAACACTTTGATCTCCAAATCTTTGAATCGCGAGACTGCCAAGCTGTGTTCTCCGCATAATCTATCACAACAGAGACAGGTCCTGGGTGACAGATACACAACAAATGTACCAGAAACCATCCTGGCAGATGAGTAAAAAGAAGTCACTGTAATCCAACCTGTCATCTGATGAAGAAACGGCTCATCCCCCTCATCTTCAAGCAGACTCACCATCACATGATGACATGACATGAATGCAGGTGTGTGTGTGTGTTTACATTCAAAACCTAGCTTGTTTTCAGATTTGTTAGCGTAACCAAGGGGGAACCCAATCACAGACCTGAAGCCAAACTGGAAGAGACAAAAATTGCAGTTCCACCCTTATCCACTAGGGGCACCAGAAAGGAGCTAATTCTCATTAACACTCATGTTAAAGTTGCCAACTTCACAGCAGAAATAAACATAAACATGTCAGATTCAAAATACCATTTCAAGTTTAATAGGTCATGACAACTCTGAGGGGTGAATTTTTAATAACGTTTCCATTTAGGTGTAATTAAATGCTTGAAATTGTGAATAATTAGATTTGATTGACAGGTAGCATGAACTGTCAGAGTTAGCTCTAGTGGCTAGCTCCGTGGAAGGCCTCAGTCTCAAGTTAACAGATGTTCAACAATTTAGACTCTCTCAACATTAGTTGTGTCCTCTGTCTGTTTGTGTTAAAATGTTAATCATTGGATTGTTTGGACAAAGTCCAAGCTGTTGTATCGAATGCAATAAATATATTGGAAATATACTTACTGTTTCCCTACACGTACAACGTGTTGTGTACCTTGTGGAACTTGTGTTGATTTAAAGCATTGTTTGTGTGTGTGTCCCAAAATTAAAGAGAAATCAGATCCTCATAGTTCCGCTTTCAGCTTCACCTCTTTGCCCATTTTTTGGATTTGGTGGTAGTGACAACACAAGTTACATGATTAAAATGGCACTGGTGGGAACCACCCATTTGGCTTCAAATAAGTCTTTCAGAAAGCTATGGGTGACATCACAGAGGGTTTGTCCATCTTTGTCTACAGTCATTAGTTATAACATTATTAATACAATGGATCATGAATATGAGTCACATGCTCGCTAGTCCATTATTATGTTTAGTACGCTGGTGTGGAAGCTGCTACTTTTGGCTGCCACTGCTCTCCAACTCCATATTTTTAGTCGTATAGTCGGAACCATCCAGCGTCTCAGGAGGGGAAAGCTGTGCATTACCAGCATTGTTTATAGTGGGGACATTGTGCTGCTGATTTGTCTAGGGACCTTGTGGATTGTGGGCAGTATACTTCGAATACCTCTTCAATCCCACCGGTACGTCTTCGTGTGAGAAAGCAGAGTCTGAGGACTTTGGGTTGGGCTCTTCAATCTCTGGAGCTGAGGTCACTGAGGTAATCGAAAAGCTCTCCATTGGTAAGGTCATAGGGGTGGATGAGATCCCCCAAAGTTCCTTAAGGCTCTGGATGTTGTACAGTTGTGTTGACTGACAGGGCTCTGCAATATCGCATGGGGGCTGTTCCACTGGATTGGCAGACCGGGATGGTTGTCCTCCAATATCCACATGGGGACTGCAAGGTGTTTCAACAACAGGGAGATCACACTCCTGAGCCTCCCTTGTAAAGTCTTCAGGGGTTCTGTAGAGGAGGGTCCGTTGGATAGTCAAACCTCTGATTCAGCAGGAGCAATGTAGTTTTCGTCTTGGCAGTGTAACTCTGGACCAGCTCTACACGCTTGGGAGGTCCTGGAGGGTATGTGAGAGTCCACCCAACCAATCTATGTTTTGGTGGTCTTGGGATCGAGTCTGCTTTTTGCAATGATGTGGTCCTGTTGGCTTCATCAGACAGTGATCTCCGTGATCTATTATTTTGATTTAGTGTAACAGTTGTTGCCATCAGAAACATACAAAAAAATTTTGAAAGAGAAATTGTGCTTTCAAGTCAGCATGGTGTTATTATGGGGATTTCCCTTTCAGCAGTTTCAGGAAGCCAGCGAATCAGCCTCACACACATACGAACAATGCAGTGAGAGGAAGAAAATGAGCGGCAGAATATAAACAGATTGGAGAGCAGCAAATAGTTTCCAAAAGATGACAACAACCATAAACAATAACAGCTGTAGCAGGACCAAGAAAATAAAATGGGGGGGGGGGCAGCTTTGGTGGTCACATTTTCTGAGGATGCAATTTCAGCCAGAGAATGATGGATCACTCAGCCTTAGCACTGTAGCTAGCCTACCCAGGTCAACTGATGCCATCATCACAGACCACAGCCATCTTAAGCTCAGACTTTTTAACATCTGCTCACTTAAGAGAGCAATGGTGAGTTAGAAACTTGGCAACAAGCAAAAGACTTTTCCCAACTGAATAAATTGACTATTCCTGTCAATTCTGGTGTTCCCCAAGGTTCTGTCCTGGGGCCTCTTCTTTTTATAATTGATCTACTCCCACTTCCCAGGCAAAATTCCTGTAAATGTAATAGTAATATTTGATGCTATGTGGATGACATCAAGCTCTACTTTTCCAACAGACCCACTTCTCTCCCTCCTACTTCCCTTTCTGATTCTGTAACAATTTCCTTCAAGTGAATTGTGGCTACAAAATACAGTGTTCTTATTGGTTTCAAACCAAATCTGATAGCTTCCCTTTTACAAGTAGAGTCTGAATTTTATTCTTCACAGTTCATTATCATTTCAGAAACATCTCTCAGGATGCATACATCGATGGATTACATCCATCCCTCACACCTGTTGTTGTTCTACACACACTGCTCACATTCCATATCAACATTCCATATTGATTCCTGTTAGGGCTGGGCGATATGGCCTCAAATCTATATTGCGATATAATCTGAAGCATGTGTGGTAACGATATACGGTATATTGCGATATATTTTTTTCTCTGTTTATATATGTCAAAATGACATGCTTTAAAATATCCTCATGTGGCAAATATATGCCACTTGAGGCATATAGGCCTCCAGTCACTGCCATTCTGTTGTTCCAATGTCAGCAGGTTGCACATCTTAGTGACGTCATGTGTTATTGCGATATTGCGGTATTGTAATATAGCCAAAAACTCTATCATTACCCAATTTTGTATGTTTCAACCTTATATCGTTTATATTGCCCACCCCTAATTCCTGTCCTTCCCTACTTTGGTCTGTCTTTTAGAAATCCAAACTACAGTTAGTCCAGAGCTCAACTGCCCACATCATATCCTCCTGAACCACATCCACAGTCTTGCATCATCTGCACAGGCTCCTCGTGATACTTCACATCAACTTTAAAAACCCTTCTCTTCACATTCATGGCCATCTATAATCTCACTCCACCAAATCTCAGTGAGTTGTTACAGATTCATCCCTGCCCGTTCCAACCGACATTCCTCCTCCATCAGTCTTTCTGTACCTCTGTACTGTCACTCTGCCCATCATCTCATGAATCCGTCTACCTCCAGACATCTGCACTATTGATTCTCACTTTTCAAAGCGCTTCCTGTGTATGAATCTCAGTTAACATTTTCTCATTAATTTAGTAGGTGCTTTTATTATACAATTTAGTATTACAGATATCTGTTTTACATTGCTGTTCTAATTTTATTCTATTTTTATTATGTTAGTTTGGGTGTGTTGAAAGGTGCCTATATGATTATTATTATTAGTAGTAGTAGTAGTAGTAGTAGTAGTAGTAGTAGTATTGCTGCATGCCAAATGTCTTCTGTTCCTTTTCCATTTACCATGGTGCAGGTGCTGAGGACAATTCCAGAGTAATTTAGTTGAGGGGAACCGTTTCTCTTCCTCGCGAGGGGCTTTAATTCGGGCCAGTCAACATCAAATTTGGCTGCACGCGCCGTCGCTGTCGCTTAGCAACAACTGTTAAGGACGTCCTGAGTGAAAAGAAATCCAACACTGTGGCCTCAACTCAGAAAGACTTGTTTTGTCCCCCACCAGCTGCTTTTCATCACGACCCGGATGTTTCTGACGCCATTTTAGTGCTCCTTTATAAAAATGTGGTGAGGGGCTCCCCTCCAGGAGCTCGTCTATAAAAAATCCCACCAAGAGAAACTGTTGCGTAGCGCCGAACTTTCACCATGGTTAGGATAAGCAGCGCCTCCACCGGTCACAAGATGCTGATTATGAGACTGCTGCTCTGGGCAGGGAACAGATTTAATCCCTGTTAGCTGCACTTATTCACATTAAAGTGGTTTATCAAAACTGCTTAGGACTATTTAATGTCCAAATCTTGATAACAGTTAGCATCTCGCCCATTTAAACACCATTTGTTGGCTGTACCTGTTAGCATTTGTGTTACCAGCGCCTAAATAAATGCGCCTTAACAAACACTCTGAAGTTAGAAAAATGCTTCGAATCGATTACAAGTGATCGATTAGGTTGGACTGAAACGGTAACCACGAAAGAGCTCACAGGTTGATGCTGGGTGCTTCTGTGGCGAAATCAATCACTGCTCCTGTCACTGTCAAATATGTGGTTAGTACGCTGCATTATATCATGCTGTCTATGAAAATTATACATAAAACTATTAGAACAGATAGCAGCGGTGTTCCTTCAAAGAGGGTTGACGTTCGTTAGTCATCCATTTCAGCCTGTCCGCTCCTCCATTGCAGACAGGATGCAGCCCGTCTCTCGGAGGGGGACGATGCTTTCTAGCTTCACCCGCGTGGTTTAATCAGAGCTCACTAACCGGCAAATGTCATTATTAGGAGCTACTCACCCCGTATCTGCGCCATCTATAGTCGGTCTCTTATCCCCGGTGAGAGACTAGTGGAAATGAGGCACGCACGACTCCACGCCTTGTAGGCGGGACACGATGTAAATGTCACCGTCTGCAAATGAGGCAGACCCTTCCCCTCTCCAGCTGTGGACCCAACGCAAGCGTTTCTGCTCCTAGAACATCACACTGCATCTGTCAGGGTGAGAGAATGTGTTGGTCTGTGAGAACTAAGCACACGAGCGCATTAACAGACAAGATCTGAGACCAAAGTCCGAAAATTAGTCACCCAATTTAACAAATTAGCACATGTATAGTTTTATTATTTTGATTCAGATCTTGTTTAGTTGCATTCTTATTTCATTTTGCTACCTTTTCATGCTTTATTCTTAGTTGTAGGTTTTCAATATTATGCACGTTTTATAGAATACCATTTAATTTCATATGTTTATTTTAATAAAATGTTGATTCTGGACTCTGATTACTGGATAACCTCCCTAATAAAAAGTAAAACCTTCCAGGTTTCTTCAACAGACACAGCAAATAAAAAAACATTCATCCATTAAATGATCTGGTCAACTTTGGCAAGTTTTTGCCCAAATATCCTCATGAAGTACTCATTGACCATAAGTGGGAAAAAACAATCAGTTTATGCACCAAAGACACAAAAATTCACGTGACAGTTTTATTTTACACAGAAAACCATGTTTACAGGGGAAAAATGTCCAGCCTTAATTACACAAGCTCATCTTAGAGGAACGCTGCTGGTGAAAACAACAGTACCTAAATTCACAGAGGGAACAACTTCTTGTGGTCATTTCCATCTTAAATATCATGCACAACATCACAAAAATAGTATCTGACACATTTAGATCCACAGACAAAAGCACCATCTCAAATGTTGCACAGGCACAGAAACTCAGATCACCCGTTTAAAGTTTTAGATGTGGCGGAGATGGCAGTTGCTGTAAAAAAATAATGAGTGACAGTTGATTTGTTGACATGCCCCGCTTTTTATAAATCAGGCCTGGATTTGTTGAACTAGATTTTATCTTTATTTTTAAATAAATTAAGGTTGTCCTTATAAAACTGACAATTTACATTACAAATGTTTCCCTTTATGTCTGGACCGTTACTGTTTTATGTAACGTATGTAAACAAAAACAAATATTAACTCACACTTTATAGAGGCAACAATACAATGGAAGTCGAGGGTAAATAGGCTTACCCACACTTACACCTCACTGCATAAAAGACACACAGATACACAGACAGCATCAACAGAAGGGTAACGAGGCTGTTTAAGGCTTTAACACCATTTATGAACACAACAGCAGAGCTTCAGCAAGCAAAACGTCACAGGGGTGATCTTTTTTGTTCCCCACGGCACGCAGCGTCGACACTGAAAACACATCAGCACTGTAGGCTCAAGTTTGGTGTCTCGCTGGCGCGTTTTACCCCACAAAAACCACACAAAAGTTCAACCAAAAGTAATGGGATCAGCATCAAACAGCGCTGAGGAATTAGAGTAAACAGTTTCCACTGACAAACCAGACAGTAAACCAAAGACTTTAGATGTAAGCATAAAAGCACAGAATAAAACATTAAAACGTGGAGTTTTGACCAGTCTTGAGAATTAATGAGCTGTAAGATTTTGTTTTTTTACATGAACTCAAGAGTTAAACAAGGGTCAAATGATCAGATTTTAAACATGAAGGACAGTACAACCCTGTTTTCATTACTGTGTGAAATGTTGATTTTTACTCACCAGAGTAAAACCAGAGGTTGTTTTTAGATCAAAGGTACTAATATTAAGTTCATTTAGTTTATTAACATTAGTCCTCATTCAGATCGCCCAAGTTTAAATTATAAAGATATGACCAGGAAGTAATATTCCTGCAGCTTCAGATTAAACTAAGTTTACAATAACCACCTGTCCACATTCACAAATTAGCTTTCATAGAACATCCTGATAGCTAGTTCAAGCAGCTGTCCCATGTCCAAAGAACCTTTGATGGTAATAAGGTGTGTGTGCATTCGTCATTACAAACTCGAAAAGAAAGCATTTGAAAAATAGGTACAAATCTAATTCATCTACATAAGAGTCCTTATTACATAATTCTGAAAGAAATTTGTTTCAGTGTAAAAATAAAAACGTGGAGCTGAAATAAAGGTGAGAATTGGTCTGAAGGTTTCTGCAGAAACACGCCGTTAGTTATTTAGTTCCACATTCAGACTGCACAGGGGCTGCGCAGTGGTGAAGTGGTTAGAGCAGTTGCCTTGCAGCAAGAAGGTCCTGGATTCGCTTCCCAGCCTGGGATCTTTCTGCATGGAGTTTGCATGTTCTCCCTGTGCATGCGTGGGTTCTCTCCGGGTACTCCAGCTTCCTCCCACAGTCCAAAAACATGACTGTTAGGTTAATTGGTCTGTCTAAATTGTCCTCAGGTGTGTGTGTGTGATTGTTTGTCCTGTGTGTCTCTGTGTTGCCCTGCGATGGACTGGCTCTCTGTCCAGGTTGTACCCCGCCTGATTGCCCATTGACCGCTGGAGATAGGCACCAGCCCCCCCGCGGCCCTACATGGACAAGCGGGTTCAGACAATGGATGGATGGATGGATGGATGGATTCAGACTGCACAGTCTCAACACCTATCACCAAAACCAGTGAATTAGTTCTGTTATTAACGAGAATAACGGCCCAGACGTGCTAACCAGAGTTAGCATTGGATAATATACGAGAGGGGATTTTATTCAGGTCAGAACGCTTATTAAATACAGAAAGAAAATAGTTGATTCAATTGAATTTCAAATTAAAAAATATAATTAAAGTCAAATACAAATCTACAATTTTATGTTTGGGAAAACGAAAAAGTTTTGGTACAACCCAAATGGTGAGTGATGATCTGATAACGTCTCGTTTCCTTTCATCAGGCTGATGCATTCAGCAGCTCTCGGGATTTCCCAAATTCATTCACATGTATGTTTTTATGGAAAACAAGAGTTTTAACAACAAATAACACTATATGCAGGCCATGTAGTCACAAACTGGATAATTCGTTTACACCATACATATAAACGTAGGTCAGTTTGTTACAATAACTTTGATCCTATATAATAATGTAACATAACACTGACTGTAGCTTGTAATGGGAGGCAATCTGTCAAAAATGCTCTTCATAAATTCCTTTTACAAATCGTGCAAAAGCTCTAGGGGCCTAACCCGACTGTTCAGTCCATTTTACAATGATTGATATTTACAGAATAATTCACTCATGCATGGTTAGTTTCTGTTTTAAACTCATCAGCATCACTAAACCGTTGACTCACCTTTACAAGCATTTTTATATTTGGGTCATTCACACCTCTTATGTACACTCATTATGCTCGATGCTTTGTGAGGAAGGCAATTCATAATAAAATATAACTCTGGAGACAGACTTTTAGGGTGTTGTGTTAATGAGCTGGACTCATCTCTGGGTGTCATTGACTGGTTTGGGAGTAAATAATAGATTCTATTTAAATGCATCAATAGGAACTAAGCTAATGCAACTCTATTCCAGAAAGTGCTAATGAGATGAACAGTGGGAGAGAAAGAGGCAGTGGAAAAGCCAGAGGAGGAGAAAAATGAAGGAGAGACTATGTTGGTGAAGCCACTACCAGCCTGCAGCATCCCAGCTCTCCTTCACAGGTTTTGAGGGACTCTTCTTTGTCTTGCCATCTGCATTCTCCCAGTTGTTGTCCCAGGCTTCCCAGCTCTCTCCTGTGCTGTGTTTGTTGTTAGACGCTCCTTCAGAGCCCCAATTGTCCCAACTGTCAGAGCTCTTCTTTGCAGAATTATCTGCCATGGTCCAGCTGTCACTGCTGGGAGATTTCTTTTCCTTTAAGGAGCTGTTGCTGCCAAACGTTTCCCAGAAGTCCCTGGAGATGGGCTGCCCGGAGCTGCCTTGATACCCCTCAGTGGCATCCATGTTCTGGTAGCTCTCTGCACCAGACCTGAACAGGGAACCCAAAGGAATTAATTAATGTGACAAACAATATTTTGCTATTTTAGATTAAATTGTTTTTACCCATCTTGTGGTTTTCCGGACAGCAGATTGGTCAGTTTTGAACCCGCTCCCTGCATCTGAAAAATGTAAAAATAATAAATATATTTAAAAAAACTTTGCTTCACACCTCACAATCAGCTAAAATAAATACAATTGTAGATGCCTAAAGGAGTTTTAAAAGTGAAACTATTGCTATGCAATTTTTAGCAACACATTGAATCAAAAGTTTGCCACTTCCATTTTATTAAAGCAGTAATCCAGAGTTTTGCCCAGATAATCTTGGCCAGTACTTTGGTATAATGTAGGCAACATGTAAACATTGTTTTTCCTGTAGAGCCCCATGCAATTTGAAATGAGTGCTGCTCAGCATAAGGAGCCTAATGGCGCTTTCACATCTGGGCCAGCACGGACCGGACCGGACCAGACTGGGTGGCATTGGTCTGGGTTCAGTTCACACACGCTTCTCAGGAATGGGGAAATCTCCCTGCACGTGGCAAAATACACACAGAAAGGTACGTGCGCATGTGCATGCGTGCGTGCATGTGTGTGTGGGCTCCGGAGAGACGCAGCTTCAGTCAGAATCCAGAATGATAGTGACTCGTGCATGAGGGAAGCTCCCACTGCTTTATTTTATTCACCAATCAGAGGCTCCCCCTAACTGTAGGTGTGTATTTGAGCCGGCCAATCAGTTGGTAGTGGGTGTGTTGGACCTGTTCAGCCCAAAACAGACCTCCTTAGTATGTGAGCTGAAAAACTGACTTGTTGAGCGCTGGAAATACAAGGCTACACTTTAAAAGCTACCCAGTATGGTCCGTGCTGGCCCAGATGTGAAAGTACATTAAGTCTCCTCCCTTTCTGGTCGGCTCATGGCTCCCCGGAAGAACGAAAAAACAAATGCAAGTCAACGGGGCTAAAGGAGCCATTTTCTAATCCGCTTTGCCTTACGCCCTGGATCACACATGTTGTACTTCAATTTAAATGAGAAGTAGTGGAGTGTGTCAACCAGGCCAGTCACGTACTCTGAGATTTATCAGTTTGTAAAAGTTCGGAATTACTATGACTACAAATTAGATGTCGGCACATTGCTTAATTTTACATCCCCACAGAATCTCCTCTCCCCAGCGTACCTGCTGTGCTAGGTTTATGGTGGTTCTTTCCTGCTGATTGAAGGATTTGAAGAGCGCTAAACTTAACCGTTTTCCCTCCTCCTCTCCTCTAACGGGAGAGTTGGCGACATTTCATATGGACAGGTCTTTTAAGTATAAATAAATAAATGAGAATAATTGTGAATCAGTGTATTTTATCTCTGTTGGCCAGCTAGAGGTGCAGATTGATGTATGAAAGGTGTTGCTTCTAGCCTTAAGCCTGGTTCATGCTTCTCCGTCAGCTCCGCAAGGGACAGACACGCACGGATTGACGGAAGAGTTTTGCTCTCATACTTCTTCGTCTCCTGGAGAGTGTTGCAAAGCAATTGCCCGGCAGGACAACAGAGGGTGTAGCGCTGTTCTGTGGTATCCTGTCATGTATCCGGTCCAAGATAGTGTGTTTATATTGTGTGTTTTTTTATATAAGAGACTTTTTAACACGGACAAATTTGTCTCTCATCCTCCTCCACCTCTTCAAGCGCTCCCCACCTCTAAACCCACGTTTCCTGTCATTTCTGTCCACAAATAAAACGCTTGCTGCGCATCTTTTCACTCCTCCAGTCACGGGGAATTAAACGTTCATGTTTTTAGAGTTTTTTACGTGAGGTATTCATCAAGCTTCTCCGTGTCTGCCGCTTGTGATCCTCGGCTCTCTTTATGTTTTTGAGGGAGCAATGGCGGTGCTGTAAACAACAGCGGCGTCCTGACCAATCACAAGCTTGTGTTGTCCGTCTCGACTGACGGATGTTTAGAAAAGAGAGCTCGACTCCGTCCGTCCTTGCGGAGCTCTCCGTCAGGCACGCAAGGACGGATAATGGCGTTGCGTGTGTCCGCACTGACGCAGACGGAGAAGCATGAATCAGGCTTTAATCATGGAAGTAGGAAGAGGGACTTAAAGAGAGACTAGGCAGTTTTGGCTTGCTTTTAGCACCCCCTAGTGTCAGTTTATAGAACCAAAATCAAAACTTATCTCCTTGCTGTGTGTTCGTCTTTTTAACATCTTAATCTAAACCCTGAAACATTGCCCAGCATTCTTCAGTGTCTACAGGAGTGATTCATCACTAAATTAAACAAATTAGCTGTGTTCGTGATCTAAAACATGCAGAAAACATGCTGGAGCATGACTGCAGCGCCAGGTATGTCAGTGCAATTTTTTCCTATGTCACAACAGACCAGACCAGCAACTGTGATGCTGCACGAGGAATATTTTGGCCACAGGGGGCGATGGGAACTGGGTGGCCTTTCATTAACCTTGTAAATGTTCATATTAGCACATACTGGCTCAAGAAAATCATTTAAACATATGAAAAAGTTGCAAAGTATCCCTTTAAAGGTGTGGTGCATTTTCCACCTCTAGATGGTGCCTTCTGACAAAAAACTCTTGATTTCTGCTTCAATGGAGGGTAATCATGACACTTCAACATTGTACTCACCACCAAAATATCAACAGCAGCACAAAAACACAAGAGATCACATTTAATTAGCATTGTTCATTATCATCAGCACTACAAACCCAGTCTCCTGAGAGGGTAGTAAATACCGTAAAGAAAGCCCAATAAAACTCTGAGCAGAACCATCGGTACACCACGGGTGCAGATTTAAAGCCCGGGTGAAGTGAGATGGTATTAAATCTGTGCCGACTCCTCTCACTCAGGAGGCTGGATTTGCATCCGTACAGCGTGGCAGACATCTGCCCATCCTACCTTGTTTGCCAGCCCTGTGATGCTGACCGCCATTTCATCTAGCAATTTGCCATCTTTGACCTGGATGAGCCAAATTAGGATTAAAATCTTTCAAAGTCACAAATGCTGATAGTCAGTAAGTTTGCTACAAATATTCTGTTGTGAAGATTTATCTTGTTCAGATGAGGAAAGTGATTTTGTTTTAACGGCACTAATTAAGACAAAAAGTGACACAGGTAGACACACACATACCACACATTTGTTTAGTTAGCAACGCCAGCTGTACATTAAAAGACTAAATCTATTCGCCTTAATCTTTCTGGATTTCTAAGCACCCAATGAGATTGTTTTGTTTTTTCCATAATTTCATGAAGTCACTTCTAAGGTGCTTTTTCGGTATTTGTTTAATTTTAAAAAAATCATTGTTTTCCCATTTAAACACATCTCAGCAGCTTCTCACTTGATAGTTAAAACTGAAGGTGTTAAGCAGAAGTATTTATTTCAGAGAATATTTACCATCACCTTATATGGTAAGGTAATATTTAGGTCAAAGAAGAACCCAAGTAGAGAAAGTTTGAAGTCAAAACATCTGCAAAGATGTACACTGATCAGCTGACATGTGTCCGTGTCTCGCTGCTGCCGACAAACCGGCTCTGACAGAATGTAAAACACCCCGAGTACTGATCTCTACTGTTGGGAGTATAGATCAGTTTGCTACCCACCCCATTTCACCCTGTTGGGCAAATACATGTAGCTGTTTAAATGGAGGATTGCTGGTGCCATGTCAGAGGTGTGATCAACCTGTAGAGATGTTTCAGCGTTAATACCAACCTTTGTCTTCCCTCACAGAAACAAAAAGACTTCAGCTCTCAGAGGCCTTACCGTTACGGCCGATCAGTGTACAATTTTCAAACGAGGAGCTGCCGATTGTGTTTATTTATATAAAGAGAGTTCACAAAAACAATCTCAAAAACTAAAAATTATTTTCCATTTTTTGGGATCAATAAAGACCGGCTTAAGGGTGCAGATTATTTAAAGATTAAACCTGATTTAGAAAAACTTATCAGTTAATTTATTCCTGAATAAAATATGTTTGCTAAATGCCACCAGTGTATCTTTGTAAATAACACTGAACTGTAAAGCTCGTGTTTCACAGTAAATTAACTGTAAGATGAGACAAGTGTGGACCAAAAGCATGGATAAACCAAAACAGATCTGGAAAAGAGGTTTGTTGATCTGTGGAACAGCTGCTCAGATCAAACATCTCCTCTGTTCAATAGAAAAACTAAATTAAGCCCTAAAACACATCAGCCTTTTACAGGATTTAGTATAAAATAATCCCACACCTAAATTACTTTCTACTTTAAATACAGGTCAGCCTCTCATTCAAATGATAAAAAAGCATATTTTTTCTCAGAAGTAAAAATTAAAAACGGTTATTAAAATGTATTTAAAACTGACTAAAACCATTTAAAGCTAAATCCAGGGACTGTGTTATGACTTATGGACTCAGATGTTCTCCGATAAACCGTTCACAGCTGGATTTGGCCCCAAATCTACCAGCTGAGTCACCGACAGGCAGGAGAATTTTTTTGGCCCATTTAAGACTGAAGACTTTGTCTTTTAATGTAAGCTGGCACAGCAGAGATAAAGATGAAGAGCAGCACAACGCAGAAAATAGCACATTCACATCTGAAGCTGTTTCTTGTCTAAAGCATTGCATCCCACCACCAAATCAACAACTTCAAACATCAATGTTACCTTTTCTTGAGTAGGTTTGATAACATTCTCATTTAAAGTCTGTCCTAACTCTGTGGCCTAGTTGGGAGTCAGAAAGGAGAGTTTACTTCAATAAAACATTTTAACGTTCACATTCCAGCACGATGTTCTTCAGCTGCATCAAGAGAAAGAACATTTCTATTCACAGAGACAATGAAAATCAGCCTCTAGAGGGTGTAATGGTCAAAAAGATAGAGCTTTTAATTAGATTACTTTGTAAGGACAGCGCTGAATCAACATTCATTATTCTCTGGCTTTCAGGTTTTATGTTTCACATAAAATCAGAGCCTTTTTCTACAACTGTTCCCAAAAGTTGTGAAAATGACTCAAAAATAAATCAGTGTAGTTTGTCAATGTTCTGAGTTAAAGACCAAGTTCACTTGTTTTTCAACACAATTGCAGTGGTCTCTCATAAACGAATGCTTTGTTAGACGATCTCTGTGGGAAAAAAAGCTCTGGCGCTCATGTTTCAGAGTAGGAAGCAGAACATGGCAGACTTGAGTCTTATGGTGCATTCGATTTACCTCTGAAGTCCGAACTGGGAATGACGTCACACTCGAATAAACCGCATTTTGGTTGCCGTAGTCAGAAAGGTCGAGATTTCATTATGGCGATATCCTGGAAAACTGCTGTTTTGTCAGTTCTCAACGAACGCAGACGACTAATAAACACATAAATCTACAAAACATATTTGAAGAGAAAAGCTTGCATGCGCTACGTGTACCATTGATTTTAAACAAACTCTTATGTGTCTTGTACAATAAACACATTTCAACTAAAACTGTTGTTGATACGAAGAGCTGCCATTTAGGATGTCTAGGTCAAAGTTCTGAAATTCTTCCCAGTTTCCGACTAGGAGGTCCGACTTTGGGGGCGTTTCATTTAATTTTTTCTACTTGGAAGTCGGGATTTCCAAGTTCCAAGGACAAATCGAACGCACCATTATTTTCTGATATTTCTCACCGCTGATTGGCTAACAGCAACACGACAACCACCGATTCCATATACTTTGCAACGTTGATGTTTTACCTCCACAAATAACACAAGCCTGAAGGAGTTCTGCTGTGTGGTGGAGTTGTTAATGCTAACAGTTAGCTTCTACTAGCCAAGATTTTCTGTTTCCTGGACACTAAACCAACACCAGTCTTCCCCATCGAGAGACAAGATGGATCAGTCCATGAAAGCCAGTTCAGTGCGAGGTAGATCTGCGTTGCTTTTCTAATTCAAACAGTTTCCCGTCTATTCTATATTGGTGGCAAATACAGGTTTTCCTACTATCATGCAGCCCTAATTTGCACCATGAGTTGATTAACATGATGTCAACATAAATTGAAAAGGCTTTGGAGTTAAAAAATAATTACTTTTTGCATTTCTTTCATGTCATAAACAACTTCTGCATTCCTTGGCTTTAAACTTATGCGTGTCAAATCTAAAAATGCAAAAATGCTAACTTTGGGGAAACCTTTGACCACAGTTGAGGAAAAAAGTTGAGAAAATAAATGAATAAATAAAGGCAAACTTGCATTTTAATAATAAGGAACCATGATGGAGCTCTTCTAAAGTTGTGCCTTCAAACTATTTTATTCCCCCCCTGGTTTATTACTTGGTAGAATATTCAGTTTGTCTTTTGTAACCAGGACGGTGTTACTGCTGCTTTACCACTGGACTTCGTCAGAAACAAACCTCTTTCACTTCAGGCGGCAACATTAAAATTACTGATGTTTTATTCTCTCCTTCTTAATCTACTGTGTGGGAAATGACTGAACCAAAGTCAGAATCCAGTGGACAAAGCTGGAACATTTTCACAAACCATTACACCTCTTCAGCTCGACTGGCAACAATAAATCAAAAACAGCCATGCATGAAAGAATAACCCTTAACATATAAGAATGAACAGCAGCCAACTATACAATTATATCACAGTTCCCAGCTCAAAACTATGTTGTGTTAACAACCAGGGGCCTCATTTATCAAGCTTGCTTACGCACAAAACGGGGTCGGAAAACTGCGTGAGCAACTTTCCACGCAAACTTTGGGATTTATGAAAGAAAACTTAGCAGAAAAATGTGCGCAATTTTAAGTTGACTAAGGACCTGGCTTACGCACATGCTGGACATGGAGAGCACCTGCGGTGCTGCTGCTGAGAAGATACAGTTACGAAACCCTGCAGCATTATCACTTGTACTGCTTCATACACACACAGAACAAGACCCCCCCACACGCACACACATGTGCACATACACACACATGCGCACACACAGCCTGAAGCGCAGAATACGGAATGCAGAACATCAGCAGGTGGACAGATTGAGACAGAATGTCATGCGTCTGTGACAGTGTGTGTGTCCTGTCACTGTGACCCGATTGATCATGCGCCCTGGCTACTTGTACAGGGGAGATCTCTGTTTGGGTGACTGGTTAGCACGCGTGACTTTCACCTGGGAGTCTGGGGATTGAATCCCGATTGAACCATTTTTTTTATATCCGCCACAGATCTCTCTGAAGAATTCACAACATTGACGGCTTCAGCAACGCTGTGCCACTCCGTGCATTTTCTCTTATTTGTTTTGCAAAAGCACTTCCTTTCATTTCTCCAACTCACCCACAAGTACCTCAACTGCTGCTTCTGTGAAATTGCGCTTCCTTGATCTGCCTTGATCTACGGTCGCCATCATCATTGGCGGAGCGCTGCAACAGCCGGCTTATGTATATGCATGAGATCCACAAGGCACTTTGCATTGACTGTTTATGGCAGTAAGTGGGCGTGGTGAGGGCGGGATGGGACTAAAATGCAGCTGAAAAACATTCTTGTTAGTCTCCGATTTATGAAGCGGAGATTGCGTGCAGCTGTGCGTCCTCCATGTTTGATAGATCACAAACCTACTTGGCGTAAGTACATTTTTTTTAGCTGAGCTTATTTTAGTAAGGATTCTACGCATTGTTTGATAAATGAGACCCCAGATGCACATGCAGGATGCAAAATGTTCACAATTAAAGGAACAATTAGCTGACATAACAGTAAAACAATGGGTACAGCTTTAAATGGAGAAGCCCCATGCAACTATGAGCTGCTTTACCGGTTCTGGAGGGGCTTTGTAACCCCTAAACTACATCCAGAGAAGGCAAAAAGATATTAGTAGCAGCAACGTTATCACAGGTTCAAAGTTTACATCATATTTTTTAAAGAAAGTCACTCTAGCATACTGCGTGTGAACGTTTACACTTAAGTGCGAGGAGATGCCTTACCTTTAAAGTTGCCTGGTTTGCCAGTTTTGTTGTCTGTGGTTGAAAAAACACACAAGTGAGTTTTACCAAGTACAGAAACTCATCACATTACCTTTGGTTACAGTTGAATTCACTCACATTATCTTTAGCAATAGAAGCAAATTTGCTAGCTCCGACTGTAAAACTGCTCCAGCCCTAAAAGGAACAAAACATTAAACATGAGGGGTTCTGCAACAAGACCAACCCAACTAAAACATCTGGGCCATGACCTACTGAGTAAATAGAGGTCATAGCATTATTTATGAAGTCCTCATCCTTCTTCTCTGGGGTCACCGTGTTGCCGAAACCAACGTAACGATTGTCTTGGTTTCCACTGTAACCTCCACCACTGAAGAAGAAAACACAAACATAAATATCAAATAAGTTCATAAACAATTATTAAAAATAGTAAAAATGTCTTAGAAAATAACGTACCTCTGGTAAGAGTTAACATCGTCAGATAACCAGTCCTCAAAAGCTTTGTCACCAGAACTTACTGGGTTCTGTCCAGATCCTCCAGAACTGAAACACAGACGCTTTAATGGCTGATCTCCAACTGCTGTCCAAAATTCTGCTTTCTCTTACCGGTGAGCGGTTGAAAGGCCCATCTTAGGCTGAGGTGGAGTCCAGTTTTTAGCAGGAGATGTCTCCATGGACCATTCCTTCCCTTCTGCTAAAGTTGCTACCTGTTATATAAAAATATCTTCTCAGCAGAAGCTATGCTGCACTTATCTCCCTTCTAACGCAGCTGTGCAGCGTAGTTTACTGAATAAACCAAGTCTGTCCCACCTTGTCTCTGAACAGCGCCGCAGATTTGCTGTTGTATTTCTCCTGTAAAGTCCAGTTGGGGTCATAATCATCTTGAAGTTCAAGAAACAGGCGAAATTTTCCATTTCCTCCCGCTTTCATTTTCTCCAGCTCAATATCTTTCCACTTGTCCATGGTGACCGAGCGCACAAAGCTGACAGGAAAGGAGATAAAAATCGTTTCATAATTCGTTTATGGTTTGTACATTTATTTATTTATTTATTTATTTTCGTTTTTGGCAAACACTAAGGCCATTTTCATATTTTAATAAAGACAAAATATCTTCTGTGCATTAGCGACTGACAGAAATATTGGCTGAGCAATATTTACCATTTTTTATATACATCGGCTGCCATACCTCTTTAGCAGAGCTGATTTTAAGTTAGGCACATCTGCGGGTAGCCCAGTGTTGCTCTTGAATTTTATTTAAATGTGTATATATGTTCCTTAAAAATACCTGCTTAATGTCTAGTACATTTTATACAGCTTACTTAATTGTTTGATCTTAATACTGAGCACAAAATGAAGAGTTTGTTCAATTCTGAGATCAAAAACCAATTGGGTTTAGAAAAGTTGCTACCATTGGCATTTTAACAGGAAAATAAAGCAGAATGTGTCAAAACATTAGCCGACCACAAAAAAAAACACGTCAGTCGCTTCAGACTAATGAACCCAAGAACCCTCCCACCACTCCTACCTGAGATGCACCCCCAGGCCCCTGTGCTTTCCAGAACACTCGAGGCAGATCCAAATCCCGTACGTCACACTGACCCACTGAGGGTTAAAAGCCCCGCACTCAAAACACAACTGAGAAGAGAAAAGATTCGGTAAATCAGATGTTTAGAAGCCTTCACCCTGATCCTGTATAACCTCATTATTTAAAATCTATTTAGCATTACACTGGCATTAAAACCATTATTTCTACAAAAATATATTTAGCTTTTCCTAAGTTAAAAGGTAATATTGCTGTTTTCTTAGTGAGTTATCTAACACAGATGAGTTGCTACAACTACCAGATAAGTTCTCCAACCAAATGTCACCTGGCAGAGATGTTTCCGTCCAAAATGACTCTCCATTCATTTGAATGTTAATGAAAGAACCTGTTTCTGAAGAGCCAGCAGAAGGTGCTTTACTGAAAGTCTGCCAACCAAACGCTACCCTCTGTGTGAAGAGCAGCAGGGTGGCATGATGGGGCAAATTTAAGCCACTTACGTTATTTTCATCCTGTGTTCTCACTTCCTTCAGAACTCTTCTGGTCCTTGGACTCGCCATGATCACCCACACTGAAAGAGAATTTTTGTAGATCTTTTATTAACATCAAAGGAAAAAATGTAACTTTTAAACCAATAGTATTTCACACACTAATTGTAATTATAAGTGATTGATCCACAAGCCTTCAACGGCTGGATGGCACTAAATAGAAACTCTCGTTTTGACGTTGCATCCTAAAACAAACCTGGACCGACTCCAGACAGCAGACTTGCTGCTATTTAATCGCTGCTTGCTTGGAAAGAAGACGAGATCAGCTGGCTGCAGCTAAAAAAACGTGGTTAATTCTTTCCGGAGATAAGTCACCTAAACACTCATCAGATCACATGCTTTTGGAGATAACTCAAGAGTTCTGCTGACATATAATAAATCGAGTTTTTTTTCCAACAAACACGGACAGATTTCAAATGGTATTATATGTTGACTAACACTGATCTCCCATCACTTATTTTAAGCTGCTGGGACAATAATAATAATAATAATAATAATAACAATAATAATAATAATAAGGCTTTGACGTGCTGGAGGGACTGATAAGTTGTAGAGGAAGTAGCTTAGTTTCACTAATTGCAGTCTTGATTCTGGGATGCTCCCTGTCACGCTGTCAGTGGAACGCCCTGGCAAAAATAAGACTGGTAAAGAGGAGGAAGAAGAGACTGGCAACAGCTAAGTGAGAATGGGATCATAATATCCTCAGGGCACAACAGGAGTTGTCAGAGTTTAGACTCAACCAGGAGCCACAACCGTACGGTGCCCTCTTCCAGGTGGATTTCAGGCTAAATTAACAACTTTTGGCAAACAGTCAATTCCACCCAACCCTGAAGCTACTGGCTTACTCAGTGTTCACCAGACACACTATACATCTCCGTGTGTACATTTCTCTGAAGGTAAATGCCAAAGTGTTGTCATTGAGCACTGCACCCAATATGAACTTTCTTTAAATTTAGATTTTGGCACAGATCTGATCTTGTGCTTCACAACACACAAACAAACCCAAGAGTTAAGTAAGCTCAAGTAAGTCTCCAACGAACTCGGTGGAAAACTTCCTCCAAGTTGGAAAAGATACATTTCTCAAATTAAGGGGTCGATATCTCAATATCTTATTCAGAAGTGATGATAGCATGGAGCTTCATCTGGAGAAACACACACTCTACCCCAGCGTGTGGTGGTAACGAAGAAGCTGAGTCAAAAAGCTAAACTTTCCATTTACTGGTCCCTCCAGATTCATGTTTTCATTTGTGATTTTTACTTGTGAGATTTGGATCATGACTCAAAGAACAAGATCCCATAAACAAAGTGGTGAAACTGGCTTTCTAGTCAACAGCTTTACTGGCCTCAGCTTTAACTATAAGGCGGGGAGCTCATTAAAGAGGACACAAAACCAGAATCTGCTGGACCAACGACAGATCTCCCAGAGCCTGGTAGAGCCTCGGAATACCACAGGATTTTCCAAAGAATGACAGAATGATGGAGCGAGAAACAAATGAAAATGTGAATGGCAGATGCTAATTAATACTATGATTACTCGAAATTAAAATACATATAAGCTACAAATTTATGGCATATCCACATATCACAAATGATTATGGTTTATGTTAAAGTGCCAGAGGCCAGAGAGGGAAGTCAGATTATCAGGAGTGAATCAGAACGCAAATGGCTGTCAAATAATAAACCTTTCAGCAGTGATTTAAGAACGTTCAAAAAGCAGCTGAAACTGAAAAATGTAGTTTACATTCAGATTTTCTACAGAAAACTACTTATTCCAGACGTGTTTCCCTCTCAAATTCATATAGAAAACAGTTTTTGGTTAGTTAAAATAGCTTTCACTATTTATTGTTGTAAAATTTTTAACGACCAAGACTAAAATGTAAAACGCAACAGATGTTTTTGTACTTGCTGTAACCCGTAAAAAAACACCAATTTCAGAAAAATTCATTTCGGTGACTGTCATGGTAACATTCCATTTTTCCTCAGTAAATTGTAGTCGTGTCAGGCTTCCTCTCACTAGTAGTCTTGATTTTATTCACAAGTTATGTTGAAATCAAGCAACGTCTTGACATAAGTTGGTGACGCGGTTAATGCTCCTAATCTCGGGTAATATTTAAAAGCGGGGCTTCGTAATAGACACAAAACTGATAAAAATTCAGTGAGCTGGCAGATTCGTGACGCTAATGTAAGCTAGCCGCTAGCCGTGTTACCTGACAGACTGGTGAACAACAAGGACGCCGCTTTCAGACTCTGTTGGCTCCGCTGATAAACTCCCCGGAGGATTTTCTTCTGTCGCCGCGGAGCTGCAGATGTCGGGCTGTCAGAGACTATCGGCTCCACAAAAGAGTAATTAAAATACCGCCGATGTTAAAAGCCGGTAGCCGTGTTCCTGTTTGCATACGTTGGCAGAGAAATGCATCATGGGTAAAGCTTTCTTTGTGATCTTTTACATCGGAAGTGCGTTTAAAGTGCGCGCTACTGCCCCCTGTCAGGATAGATTGTTACTACTTTTGCTCTTGAAACAAAAAACACAAGAATAACAGATATTAGACGTCATAGATGTAATAGTAGCGACAATAATGATGGTGAAGCACTTTTCAAGATAAAAATCACAAAGCGCTGCACAAGCACATTAGAATAATTGAAAAGACAACAATGAAGGTTTTAAAAAAATTAAAATCAAGAAAACCTGACAATACAGAAATGAAAGAAATAAACGATTGGAGCTCGAATAAAAAACGTGACTAAACATCAAGTTTTTCAAAATGTGATTGTTTCATTACTAAACTACTCTATTTAGATACTGCTAATCAAATGCAAACTCTTTTTACAGTGCATTGATATGGAGCTATAGCTACAACATAATAACAGCACAGCTTCATGCAACGACTGCATTATGTTTCAAAGGAAAAATGATTGTGACTGATGATAATGATAAGAACCTGAAACAGGATGTAACTTTACACAGCGGCAGGTTAAATGAAAGACAGCCAAGTCAAAGTCAAAATAAGACACATTCAGAACACAGTGCATTATGTGAAATGAGATTTACTGCAGCTTTTGTGGCATGCTGTCCACCTGCCACAATCACAATGTCCCCCAAGGTGTCTAATAAATAAATAAAGAATGAGACGGGGCATGGGAAGTCAGGTTTCATTGAAGGAGATCTAGTTTTTCCGACTCAACAGATGCTGCTGCAGCTCAAATTGCTAAATGGCCTAATGTTGCCTCTGATAGACAAGTGCTTAATCACACTGCACATAGCGGTTTATTGCACAAAACTTCACAGGTCTAGCTGAGTCCATACCTGACCAGGTGAGGGTTTGGGTGTAAGGATGAGCCAAAATAAGGTCAGCTATAGCAAACTCAGTTGTAACATTGAACCTGGTCAGTGTAGAACCAAATTCAAGTTTTTGTTTTATCAAAATATCATAAGAAATACTCTTTTGATGAAGCATTTTTTCTAATTATCTTCTGCAAAACAATCAGCATAAGCACACAAATTGATTATATCCTTCTCATGACCTATGACTGACCAGAGCCTAATCCATGGAAATCACAATCCATTCAAATAAACTCTGCAGACATTAACTTATGAACTTATGTCATTTTTACGTAATTACGAATAACACAGTAGAAGATGATCATAATAAACAAGTCATTAAGTCAGGTCAAGTCAAGGCAAATTTTATTGATATAGCACATTTTCATGGCAACAGCCATTGCCTCAAAGTGATGCACAGATAAGAACAATGCACAAACATAAAAGACACAAAGCATAAAAGAAGCAATAAAAAAACTGAAAAACAGTCATAAAATTTGAAAGCCTAAGACACATAAAACAGATTACGCATTACAACACTCCAGGTGAGAAGATATAACATGAATTAAGGTTACAAAAATATCTGGTCAAATGCAGGTTTTCATTTTGCTCAGGAGTCTGTTCAAGCTAGCTTCAGCCATTGACTTACTAGGAAATCAACTTTTAATATTCATCCATCCATCTATTGTCAATACCCTCTCATCCACGCCGGGTCATGGGGGCTGGTGCCTGCCTCCAGCAGACTCCGGGAAAGCAGGCAGGGTATATACACCCTGGACAGGTGGCAAGTCCATCGCAGGGCAACACAAAGACACACAGGAAAAACAACCATGCACACACACTCACACCTAAGGATAATTTACACTGACCAATAAACCTGATAGTCATGTTTTTGAACAGTGGGAGGAAGTGAGAGAACCCACGCATGTACAGGGAGAACATGCAAGCTCCATGCAGAAAGACCCCAGGCTGGGATGTGACTCCAGGACCTTCTTGCTGCAAAGCAACAGCTCTAACCGCTACGCAACTGTGCAGCCCAACTTTTAATATATTACCCATTAAACACATCGTTGTTCCTTAAGCATATGAAAGAGCCTACTGTGTTCTTCTCTTATCGTATAACTTTGACAAACTCTTATTTTGAAATTATTACCTGTTTTTGGTTAATTTGGAGAACTTCATCATCAGAGTTGTTGATGAACTTCTCCAAATTGTCAGTTTAAACTTACTTTTTTACTTAATCACAGATTTGATCTTCTTTGTCGTCTAATCCAACGTTTTAAAGCGACTGAATGTCAAACAGGAGTTTTAAAAGCCTGAGAAAAGGTAAGATTATCACGGAGGACTAAAGTATATTTCTGCTGACATGCTGACCTGTCAAATAACTTTGTCCTATTTCTAGAGGAGGAGGATGTTGAACCAATGCTGTTGGCTGCTCTTATCTCCTCTAAGAGCCTTATTTAAGACGGCTGATGCAGCAGCTGGAGTCTCGCCTTGATTTGTGCGTCAAAATGAACTCGTCAACCAATCTGAAGCTGCGGTTACCCGTGTTGGTGTTGGTGTTGGAGGTTGTGATGATAACCCTCTATGCTGCGTTTGTCACGTATGATGACAACACTGATGCCAAGCTGCAGAACAATGAGACCAACCCAATGGACAACTCCCTCTATGAGGACTACCCGTACTTTGCAGACGTGCAGGTGATGATCTTCATCGGCTTTGGTTGTCTCCTCGCCTTTTTTCGCTTCTACGGCTTTGGCGGAATGGTCTTCAACTTTCTTACAGCCACGTTCACAATCCAGTGGGCGATCCTGATTCAGGGATTCTTCCAGTTTTACCACGACGGAAAAATTCACTTGGGGGTAATCAACCTGCTGAACGCGGAGTTCGCCTGTGCTGTGGTGCTGATCTCATTTGGGGCGGTGCTTGGGAAGACCAGTCCCGTTCAGCTCCTGGTCATGGCTTTGCTGGAGATCCCTGTCTTTGCTGTCACGGAGTGGGCGGTCCTGAAATACATCAGGATTAATGACGCAGGTGGCACTATTCTTATTCACCTGTTTGCCTGTTACTTCGGCCTTGGGGTGACATTTGTGCTCCATCGTCCAACTCTGAACGACGGACATCCTAAGGAGACCACCAGTTATCACTCTGATATTCTGTCTGTGATGGGAACGCTTTTCCTCTGGGTCTTCTGGCCTTCTTTCAACTCTGCTCTGACCTTTAAAGGTGACGACCAGCACAGAGCAATCCTCCACACGTTTATCGGCCTGAGTTCGTCCACCATCACAGCGTTTGCGCTTTCTGTGTTATTCAACAAAAGAGGTAAGCTCACAATGGCAGACATTCAGAACGTCACTCTGGCTGGAGGCGTCACTGTTGGAGCTTCAGTGGACATGATGATCTCTCCTGTGGCGGCGTACGCCTTGGGCGTCATGGGCTGCACTGCCTGCTTCTTCGGTTACAAGTACCTTACCCCTTTTTTGGCTCAGCGCATGAGGATCCAGGACCAGTGTGGTATTCACAACCTCCACGGCCTCACAGGCCTCATATCGTCCGCAGCAGGGATCTGTGCCATCCTTCTGGCCTCAGAGGAGACCTACGGGCCCAGCATGTATCAAATCTTCTCCCACCGGGCGCCACCTGCGGGAGACCCAAAGCTGCTGGAGCTGCAGCAGCTGATTCCTGGGATGAAGCCGGGCTTGGGTCGCACCGCACAGGAACAAGCTCTTTATCAGGTCGCAGCTGTCTTCTCCACGATTGCAGCTTCCACAGTTGGCGGGCTGCTGACTGGACTGGTCATGAAGCTGCCGTTTATGGCGTCGCCGTCCGATGAAGACTGCTTTGATGACGAGCTTTTCTTTGACATGCCCCCAGACTTTGAGAGCGTCCAGGTGCTCAAGAACTTTATAAGCATGGAGGAAAAAGAAAAAACAGGTTCTGTGAACAGCAAAGTCTGAAGCACTTGGATGTTTAATCCTAATCTCTGAAATGTTGCAGAGGAGAATTAGCAATTTTCTAGTTTTAGGAAATAAACATACTGAGTTTTTCTGTAAAATGCTGCTTTGCTTTAATCCTCCAGAATTAAAGTACAAGGGATGTGGTTTCAGTCTTGTTTTTTCATTGCTCTTATTTTACTCAGGCTTTGCTTTGTTTTACTCGTTTCTGTTTTCCATTTAACCTTGACCAAACTACCGAGTCGTGTTGCTTTCTTTCGTTGGAGCACACGCAATTTGAGAGCAGCCTTTTCTTTAAGTTTCTTTGTGTCCGTTTCTAAAATCCAGTGTAAATGTGGTGCATCCTTGGACATATCTCATAACAAAGCAGAGGAACTTAGTGCTGAAGCTGAAGCTGGCGTAAGTGTTCAGACTCCCGCTTCAACGATACAACAAGATGATGCTGTTCTGTTTTGATTAGCATGGCAGATATTTACGTTCTGTTATCATTGAAGATACATTTAATATAAGAATAAGTAACAAAAACAAAAAAACATGCATCCTAGTTGAGAAAAGCCTTTATGCACAGATTTGGGTTTCACTTGTGTCTTTTGCAGTTTCAGCTGTTTGATCTAAAAGTAAAACTGATGTTTTTATCTAAACACGAACAGATTCTTACTGAAGTCAAGTGATCAAACTCATCTCTTCAAAAATAACTAATCAGTAAATAGTCTGTGTTGTCTTTATTACTTTAACAGCTGAAAAATGTTTGATTTTGTGTTTTAACACAATCAAATAAGCTTTACCCTCTGGAACCTTTGTGTCACAAACTCATTCAATCTTTATGGATCAGGATCAGAAGCAGAATCAGAAGTGGAAGCAAGTCAGAGTAGGTACTGAGCGGGTCAGTTCAGGTGCAAACACAACACAGGGTCATGTGACTGAAACAAAGCAGCTGGAGTGGGCAGGTCTAAAATTGTCGTTAATGTCAAAAATAAGCATGTTATTGATTGTGAAGTCTGGAAAACCAGAAATGTTGGCAGTTTGGATATAGTAATTACTGCTCTTGCTGCTATAGTGTCAAAAGCATTTGAAGGAATTATTCTGGAGAGGACTAAAGTTCTTGTTTGCGCCACTGATGATCATCCCCGCGACCCTGCACAGACAAGTGGTTATGGACAATGGATGGATGATCATTTTGGATTTAAATCTCATCGTGGCTCAGACATATCCACATATGTTTCACAGGAACTTCTGCACTGTAGAGCTCTTACACGTTGCATATTTTTTAACATTTTTATTTATTTATTTTTTCCCCGTGTCCTGTGTGGCTGTGAAGCAAACAGAATTAATGTCTGAATGCTGATGACAAGCCTTACAGATTCACTCCACCACCCTGTGTGGACAACGCGGGTTCAGAAAATGGATGGATGGATGGATGGATGTTATTGTTTTTTGAATGCTTGTAATTCCAACCAGACACAGAGACAGAGGTGAAAGAGAAAAGAAGAGACAAAAAGGGGGGGGGGGGGGGGGGGGGTCCACAAAAATAAACCATCAGTGATGAACAAGAGTCTGCTTCTAGACCTGCAGAAAAGGGACACACAACAATAAAACAGAAGCAAGCTATCACTGCGTCAACTTGATGAAGAAATATAAAATCATGTTGCATCTTTAACCTGATAGACTTTGTAGTCGTATCATCTGACCTGCGGCCGTATGTTTTGGACACCCGAGTGAAGAGAGGAGCGGAGCTGTCAACTGATCACCACCTGGAGGTGAGTTGGATCAGATGGCAGGGGAAGATGCCGCGTAGACCTGGCAGACCCAAACGCATAGTGAGGGTCTGCTGGGAACGCTTGGCAGAAGAACCTGTCAAGACGGTCTTCAACTCCCACCTCCGGCAGAGCTTTGACCGCGTCCCGAGAGCAGTGGGGGACATTGACTCCGAGTGGGCCTTGTTCCACTCTGTGAATGTTGAGGCGGCTGTTGCTAGCTGTGGTCGCAAGGTGGCCAGTGCCAGTCGTGGTGGCAACCCCCGTACCCGCTGGTGGACACCAGAGGTTCCGGGAGCCGTCAGGCTGAAGAAGGAGGCCTTCAGGGCGTGGCTGGTCTGTGGATCTCTGGAGGCAGCAGACGGGTACCGGATAGCCAAGCGGGGTGCAGCAGTGGCAGTTGCCGAGGCAAAATCTCGGGCGTGGGAGGAGTTTGGTGAGGCCATGGAGAAAGACTATCGATCGGCGTCAAAGAGGTTCTGGCAAACTGTCCGGTGCCTCAGGAGAGGAAGGCAGCAACTCGCTCACACTGTTTACAGTGGAGATGGGGAGCACCTGACGTCAACTGGGGCTACAGTCGGGAGGTGGAAGGAATATTTTGAGGAGCTCCTCAGTCCCACCTACGCGCATTCCGAGGAGGAGCCAGAGCCGGGAGACGTGGGGATGGACTGTCCAATCTCTGGGGCAGAAGTTGCTGAGGTAGTCAAACAACTGCATAGCGGCGGAGCCCCGGGGCTGGATGAGATCCGTCCTGGGTATCTCAAGGCTATGGATGTGGTAGGGCTGTTGTGGTTGACACGTGTCTGCAACATTGCGTGGTCATCGGGGGCAGTTCCTGTTGAGTGGCAGACCGGGGTGATGGTCCCCATCTTTAAGAAGGGTGACAGGAGGGTGTGTTCAAACTACAGGGGATCACACTCCTCAGCCTCCCTGGAAAGGTCTACGCCAAGGTACTGGAGAGGAGGGTCCAATCGATAGTTGAATCTCAGATTGAGGAGGAGCAATGTGGTTTTTGTCCTGGCCATAGACCTGTGGACCAGCTCTATACCCTTGCAAGGGTGATGGAGGGGGCATGGGAGTTTGCCCAACCAATCCACATGTGTTTTGTGGATTTGGAGAAGGCTTATGACCGTGTCCCCAGGGGCACCCTGTGGGGGACGCTCCAGGAGTATGGGGTGGGTGGCTTTCTGTTAAGGGCCATTCAGTCCCTTTACCAGAGGAGCGTGAGTTTGGTCCGCATAGCCGGTAGTAAGTCGGACCTGTTCCTGGTGAGGGTTGGACTCTGCCAGGGCTGCCCTTTGTCACCGGTTCTGTTCATTACCTTAATGGACAGAATTTCTAGGTGCAGCCGTGGTGTGGAGTGTGTCGAGTTTGGTGGCCGGAGAATCTCGTCCCTGCATTTTGCGGATGATGTGGTCCTCCTAGCTTCATCCAGCTCTGACCTTCAGCTCTTGCTGGGTAGGTTCACGGCCGAGTGTGAAGCGGCTTGGGATGAGGATCAGCACCTCCAAATCTGAGACCATGGTTCTCGACCGGAAAAGGGTGGCTTGCCAACTCCGGGTCGGGAGAGAGGTCCTACCTCAAGTGGAGGAGTTTAAGTATCTCTGGGTCTTGTTCACGAGTGAGGGTAGGAGGGATCGGGAGATCGACAGGCGGATTGGTTCAGCGTCTGCAGTGATGCGGACGCTGAGCCAATCTGTCGTGGTGAAGAGGGAGCTGAGCCAGAAAGCCAGGCTCTCGATTTACCGGTCGATCTACGTCCCAATCCTCACCTATGGTCATGAGCTTTGGGTAATGACCGAAAGAACGAGATCGCAGAAACAAGCGGCCGAAATGAGTTTCCTCTGTAAGGTGGCCAGGCTCAGCCTTAGAGATAGGGTGAGGAGCTCGGACATTCGGGATTGACTCGGAGTAGAACCGCTGGAGTCAGTTGAGGTGGTTTGGGCATCTGGTCAGGATGCCTCCTGGACGCCTCCCTGGGGAGGTGTTTCGGGCATGTCCTGCCAGCAGGAGGCCCCCGGGTCGACCCAGGACACGTTGGACAGGATACATCTCCAATCTGGTCTGGGAACGCCTTGGGGTCCTGCCGGAGGAACTGGTGGAGGTGGCTGCGTAGAGGACAGTCTGGAGCTCCCTAGTTGGGATGCTGCCCCCGTGACCCGGACCCGGATTAGCGGAGGAAGACGACAACGATCTTTAACCTTAGTGCCACCCATTATCAGTCTGATCTGTGGAAACACAGCTAACACACGCACATATCTTTTTTAATCCTTGTTTTAAATCGAACCCCTTGTTTACTGTATTTTTACTGTATTTGATTGGTTTTTTCATGTGAGCTGGACCTTGAGTCTGTAATAAGACGTATCTATCTCTATGTCTACATATTGACTTCATTTTATCCGTCTGATCTTGTTAATGTGTATCTTATGGAATTATTTTATGGAGCTAGTTAGATATGTAATTTTCAAACATTAACACGCTGAGTCAATAAAATCTGTTTATTGTCCCACATTAAACAAAGACTAATAGTTGACCTTTTGGCTTGTATTACTTGTTACTCTGTGTTTCATTACAAAGGTTACAAATGTATTAGCTGATAAGAATAACAAAGAGACTCATGTTGTGGGTTTTTCATGTAATGTGGATTTTATTGAACTCACTGAGTTGATGTGAACTCTGAGGTTGAGTTGATTGTCTTCCTCATTAAGAATCTTCCTCAAGGCATCTCAAGGCATAGGGGCTGATTTAGTTGATGTTTTTGAAACATAACGAAAAGCTCTGTGAGGCTCCACATATGAGCAGATTTGATTTATTGTTCTGAATGTTAAAAACGTTCGTAGTGAAGTTTTATTAACAAAATTAAAGGCACACTTGGCAGTTTTGCTTGCTTTTAGCACCCCCTAGAGTCCATTATTAATTCTCTGTGGTGAAACCAAAAGCAAAACCTTTCTCCTCGCCGTGCGTTTGTCTTTTTAAACACCTTAATCTAACAACTAAAATATCTCCTCAGCCTTCATTAGTGTCCACAGGAGTGATTCATCTCTAAATTAAACAAATCAGATGTGTTCATGATCTGAAACATGCAGGAAACATGCTGGAAGCAGACTGCAGCGCCAGGTATGTCAGCTCCTTTTACTTTTAAGTCCAGCAGGTGGCAACCTGCCACTCTGAAGCAAATACCCCTGATTGCAGTACGCAGATCGGGGCGGGGAACAACCGCCCACCACTCGGGCGTCATGTTGAAAAAACCCATGTAGGGGCCGGCCGCCATTTTAGACAGGTCTCTTTCGCCCCCAGTGAATTCATTTCTACAGAGGAATGTGCTTACACAACTAAAAAACACATTTTATCAATGTTTTTCACAAAATCAGATATGGTATGGCATGATAATTAAAAAATAAATATAATTAAACTAAATAAATTAAAATGTAAAATGCTGTCAGTTGCTCATTCTGCATTGACTTTGGAGAGTGAGGAGACCCATCTGATATGGCAGCGATGCTCTCCAGTGCCCAATCGTTTATGACTTCATGTCAATGATGTCAGCATAACAATGATAATCAAATAACCTGTTCGGTGGATTTCAATAAAATATGTAGAAAACGCAGATGATTAAGTTAAATGAAATAGGTGTCCTTTTTTGATTCAAATCTGTTCTGATAATCTTATTATTCTTCATTCTACTCTTTTGTATGGTATTTATAGTATGTCTTTTAACTATTTTGGTACCATTATTTACTATTGCGCCTGACACCAAGACAAGTTCCTCGTGCTGTAAACTGACCTTTACTGCTATTGTCAATGAGAACAGTTATGACTCTGATATGTTTTGTCAGGACGTAGCGGTGAGTGGAGCGGAGGTGAGGATCCAAATGCAGGGGAGAAGGCAGGCAGGCAGGCAGAAACGTTTTTAGAGGGATTTTATTCACGGATGCACAGGACATGCAAATAATGACGCAACAAGAGACACAGAACTGGAGGGGTTTAAATACAGGAGGACTGGGAGCTTGGGTGATTGGGAAATGAGAGGCAGGTGGGAGCAATCAACAGAGACACAGGCTGAACCAAATGGGGAGACAAGACAGGGTGTGACAGTATCCCCCCCCCCAAAGGGCGGCTTCCAGACGCTCACAGGAACACAGAGCAGGGCGGGAGAAGGGGGACCCGGAGGGGGGGCCAAGAGGGACCGAGGGGTCGATGGAGAGGAGGCAGGGACCAGCAGAGTCCGGGGGCCTGCATCTAGGGCAGAGGAGGCGACGATGACGGGCTCTTGGGGGTCTGCGTCTGTGGCAGAAGAGGCGGCGACGGGCTCTTGGGGGTCTGCGTCTGCTGCAGAGGAGGAGACGACGACGGGCTCTTGGGGGCCAGCATCTGCGGCAGAGGAGGAGGCGAGGACAGGACACAGGAGACTGAAACACATGGGGCACTGGAGACTCTTGAGAGGAAGAAGACGGGTACTCTTGAGAGGAGGGGAAGGCGTCATCCTCTTGGACTGGAGACGCTGACCCTTTGGTTGGAACTATGGGCGTTGTCTCTGTAGACTGGACCGGGGACAAAGTCTCTGTAGGCTGGACCGGGGACAAAGCCTCTTGGACAGGGGGCAAAGTCTCTTGGACAGGCTGGACTGGGGACAAAGCCTCTTGGACAGGAGACAAAGTCTCTTGGACAGGCTGGACCGGGGACAAAGCCCCTTGGACGGGCTGGACCAGGGACAAATCCTCTTGGACAGGGGGCAAAGTCTC